ATGAAAGAGCACAGTTAAGATTAATAGAAGGGTGAAGGGGCTTTTATTTCTTGAGTTGTCTCGACTACAGCATAGTGCCATTACAATAACAACTGACATTAGGTATTTCTTCAAAATATGAGCAAGAAGATGATTGCCAGCCCACTGTGACCCTACTCTGAATTGAAAGTTTGCGCAACTGTAAATATATATAATAGTTCTTTATTTTAGTGATGGGAACAGGTGGGAGAAAGAACATTAATTCTTTATTTTGGATTAGTTATGGCAGATGGTACTATTATAGAAGAATATTGCTAACATCTGAAGTCTAAAGTTTCACAAACAACCTTCAAAGCAAACATGCAACACATGCTTTGAGAGTTAAGGACAGGCATTTTCAACCAATGTATCAACCTAAGGTAGAAAGAAAAAGAAATGATGGATATGGTGTTTATTGACATGGAAATTTCTAGTAGTCTTCTGGAATATAAATGAAATCTTTCCAGCTTACTGGGCTTAAACTGAATACACCTTTCTCGTAAAGCACACATCTGATGTTGTGGAGTGGTCAAGCAGCGCAAGAATGAAGATAATCAAAGAAGAGTAGATTTTCCAGTCATATTATGCTTGCATCAATGGTGGAGGAAGTGACATGGACCCATTACAGACTTTTCATAATCTTATCTTGGTAACACTCCAACTAAAATGCATCGACAAGTTACTGCACATATCTATCCATATATTCAAATTATACAATGACCGAGTCCCTTCGTCTTTGGCTACACAAACTCCTCTCAAATAGAAACTGAGTACATGGGACCTGTAGGTAACTGAAAAGCAAGTTTCCATAAGGAGCTCTAGACGTTAAAATAAGAACCTACTTCTACATTTATGTAATGAGCTTGTATAGTCTGGAATCCCAAATTTCCTATATTTTCTAGCCTACTCTTCTACAAATGCATAATCATTAGGATAACTGCATTGATTTTACATTGTACAACAAAGGAGATTAATTGATTCCATCCAAAAGAAATTCATATTCTTAGTGCCTCTTTTCCTTTTTCCATCTGTGGCATATTGGTAGTTCATTGATATAACTTGAACCCTTAGAACCTCCATTTAAACACAAAAGGAAGAAACACTTAGTTTGTGTTTGAGATAAAAATACAATATTGATCACCATCCAGGACTAGTAGATAAGAGCCTAGAAGTTACACAAACAAGATGATGATGATGATCTTATAGTGGATAAAAAACCGTACAGGAGAGTTTAATTTTTCTTTTGGCGGGGGAGCAAACAAATTATACAATGCAGGGTCACATGATTACCAATGAAGGAAGACTAGAAGGCTTTCCAGATTCCTCGTCTGGAAGATACTCAGCAATAGCATCAGTGACCACAAGAGCTCGAAGATACTCTGCAACTCCTTTACTGTCCACACTATGATCCCTTTGTTCAAAGCGCTTGATGACAGACTCAGGACTGAAAGAAAATATCAAAGCTTCATTAACTACGAACAGTGCAGGGCAGGGGGAGTAGAGACCCAAAAGGTTGACGACATAGGTAAAGAAATAGATCAAACCAATTGCTTTTCTTTCAGTCTTCCAAGGAATATGAAAAATTACACAGCACACATGACTACAGCATACATCGCTTCAAACATAAACACACCAAATCCTATTTTGATCGGGTCAAACATGATGTACATGTACAATTAAGAAAAATGTAACTAAAGTGATTTAACATAAAAGTATATTTGGATTGTTAAAAATTGCAAATTTATCCTACACACTCAACTATGAAAAAAGTTTTATTTAATTTAATGATGCAGCAGCTACAGCTTGGTTAGACAAAAAATATATTCTTTGGCATCCCAAGACTAAGTACATTGCCCCAAATCTGAAAATAAAGTCTTTTTAGAATAAAGTGAAGTGTTTGTTGAAGGCTTGGGGCCTTCAGCAAATCAGATTAAATTGGATGAAAATTTAAGTGTTTGCTAAAGGTTTGGTGCCTTTGTATACCTCTTCTACCTTCTTTCTCTTCTTTCTAAGTTCTTCTCCATATCTTTGTCTTCTCTGAAATACAGCAACCCTAAACCTTACTTCCTCTCTAAAAAATTTAATTCAAATTTCCATCCTCCTAAAACGCACCATAACCATACTTGAACACCCATCCTGTGCTGTCCAGCATTATTTAATCTCCAGAAATATTGGAAGTAAAACTAAATAAAATTGAAACTTCTTTAGTACTTCGTTAAAATATTCATTCTCTTTCCCTTTCCCAATTTTCTTATCAACCAACTAGAACATGATTAAAGAAAGAACAAGTTCAAAAAACTGGTTGACACCCTTAAAAAGAAAATCCTTCAATCCCAGTGGAGAAACTTCCACTCCAAAAGTACGCCTATTTGGTTCCGAACAAAGGGAGCGCAAACAGCACAAGGGGATAATCTTCCAAGTCCCAACAGCCCTATTATTCCTCTTCACAAAACCTCATCTCCATGGGCATAACAACCACTCAATACAGAAGATGGCACAACCCAAGAAAGACCAAAGCAAAGAAAAAGAGATAACCCCGCAGCTCTTGGGAGACAGGGCAATGCAAGAAAATACGACTAATCGACTCCTCTGCATCCTGGCAGAAACAACACTGAGTAACAACTACCTGCCCTAGTTTAATCAGATTGGTAACACAGTTAAAACTTCCCCAAAGAAACAGGTTTTTCCACCACTTACTGAGACTAATACAGTGACATGGTTTCACTTTAACTGGTTATCACACTATATAATAACAGCAACATAACATTATATACTTTAGGGAAGAAAAAAATTATTTTCTCAGTGATAATAGAAATTATAGCACAAATACCCTATAGCCTAACCTGTGTTTGTTGAGCTCAGCCAGCAGAGCACTCTGCTTCACGGGGTCCTTGGGATTGGCATCGGCCTCTGCAATCAAAAGCTCCAACCGTTTTTCCTGCCGCCAAAATGGCCACCAACTGAACCAATTGGAGGCCAATACCTTCTCAAATCTTCCTTTCGCAGTTGCCCACAACCCCACCAAGAACACCACCAATGGTATTCCAGTCCCACTCTTCTGCCCCACCAAATTCCCACTCTTTCCCTCAGCTTCCACCTCTTTCTCACTCTTTCCATCCCCTTTCTCCAAACCCACCTTCCCAAACTTACTCTTCACCTCAAATTCCAAATTTTCGCCTCCAAATTCATCAGTTTCCGGCTTCCCCACATTTGAAACCGAGCTATTCTCACCACTAAATTCCTTCAAAATCGAATCCTTGACCTCAGAACTTGAATGGGAATCCACCAAATCCGATTCTTGATTTAAATTCGCATTCGCATTGTCAGGGTGCAATGTGCAAGAAACCAATGAAGTCCGAGGGCCAAATCCGAAATTTCTAGAACTTTGTGGTGCAGAGAGATAGCTATTAGGCAGAGATAGCGGGGTGTAAGTAAAAGAGGCGCAGCGGGAGAACTGAAAGCGTTTCAATTTAGAAGAAGGAGTAGAAGAGAGTGAAAGGTTAAGAAGAAGCGAACCTTGCGAAGTGGTCATTGTTTAGGGTTTATCAAAATGGCTCTTTCTCTCCCTATATCTCCCCCACCCGCTTTCTCTCTCTCTCTTGTACAAAAAAGGGTGTGCAGAGAGACGGTTTTCTTTCTCTTCTTTTGGTCGCGAAGACAGAGTTTGAGAGCCACAAAATTGCGTGAGAGAGAAGATTAGAGGGAAGAGAGAAAAAACCTTATCTTGGGATTGAAATTGGCGCCGGCTTCTAGTTTGTGGTTTTACAGATGGCTCTTTGTCTATTTCTATTTTACAAGAATACCACTATTGAGTAGAGGTGGCAATATTGTACATGGCTCATTAACACAACACAAATTTGCACGAAAAATTCAGCATTCGGGTCTGAGTTATCGTGTCATGTTGACATTGTGTTGACCCATTAAGCTATTGTGTCGTGTCGTGTGAATTCGCGAATACCCGTTAACCCGTTAAGCTCAGGGACATTTTTGTAAATTTATCTTCATCTTTTTTTTTCTTCTCTTTCTTCTCTTTTGTCTCTTCCTCCCCAAATCCCCCGATTCTCTCACTACTCTCTCTCTCTCTCTCTCTTCAAAACCCAGCAATCTTTGAGCTTTCTTCTTCTCTCAACTTGAGAGTCTTAAGCAGCCACCCAAACACCATGAGCCATCCCAACCACCTCCCCCTTCTATCTTCCTCCCTCATTGATTGATCCCACCTATTCCCTCACCTTCTCCGATGGCTCTTCCTGCTCCACACCCACCATGTCCGCTGCCCAAACCTTTGAGGGCCACTCACACGACATCTCCAATCTCACCTTTGAGCTCTATCGATTGTGTTGATTTTTTTATTTTTTTATTTATTTTTGTACTGGTTGATTTTTTAATTGTTTAAAATTTTGTTTTTGTTTTTATTTTTTTTAAGTTCTTAATAGATTATCGTGTCATGTTGTGTGATTCGCAAATTGTAATGGGTCATGTTCATGTTTGACATTTTCAACCTGTTTTCTTATCGTGTAGTGTCGTGTCAACCAATTAAGAAAAGCGAATTGACACGAAAACGACACGAACACTGAAAAAACGACACGAATGCCGGGTCTACTATTGAGTCTGAGAGAAATTTATATATACTAAAACTCAATCCAACCAGACATCATTACTAAGCAAAGTGGAGTGACACAAATGCCTCCTGTTTTATTGTTACTCAGCCTTGTTAGGAAATAAGTTTGTATAATATCAATTAATATCAATTCTGTTGTAATTAGAATTTACTTTCCTAGTAAGTTTCCTAGATTAGAGGACTTGTTTCCTTGTACACGAAGACACTCTTGTATAAAACCAATTGTACCTATCAATTAAAAGTATTCTCTTCCAATATCAGATTCACATGGTATCAGAGCAGGACATCAAACCCTAGCTCTTCATATTTCTTTTCCTGCCGCACCTTACCTTCTCGTGCCGCAGATCTTTCACCGCTGAAAACCATGGGTGATTCCTCTGGCACATTCAAGGTTGAACCTTCAAGTCCTTACTACATCAATAATTCAGATCATCCAGGTTTGGTAATTGTACCAAAGCCTTTGAATGGAGATAATTATGCAACATGGCGCAGATTCATGACTGTTTCATTGAACGCAAAGAATAAATTGGGTTTCGTTGATGGAACTCCCAAAAAGTCATCATCAGAATCCAATCCTGATGAACACGCGATATGGATGTGCTGTAATGACATGGTTTTCTCCTGGATTGTCAACATGCTTGATCCTGAAATCAGCGATAGTGTCATATATTGTACCACGGCCTGTGAGATTTGGGAGGATCTCCGTAAACGATTCTCTCAAAGCAACGCTCCTCGTATCTTCCAACTTCAACGGGAGACTTCATATTTGACACAAGACCAATTGTCAGTTGCTGCCTATTACACCAAGTTGAAAGGTCTTTGGGATGAACTTACTTCCTACACAGATTCTTCTACCTGTACCTGTGCAACCCATGGTGATCGCAACAAACTCATGCAATTCCTTATGGTATTGAATGAGTCTTACAATGTTGTTCGTGGCCAAATTCTCTTGACGAATCCCTTGCCGTTTGTTAGGCAAGCATATGCCTTCATCAGCCAAGAAGAAAAGCAACGCATGCTTGGAGCCTCACGAGCTGCTGCTGGAACTCCCGATACTGCTGCCATGGCTGTTAGAACTGGACGCCCTAATCAGAATCAATCCACCAACCGCGAGGATCGTCGCACTGACAGGTCAGACCAAAACCGCTCCCAGACCTCCAACCGTGATGACCACCGCGCTGGATCTTCAAGAAACCGACCCCATTGCACCCATTGTGATGACGATGGCCATCACATTGATACCTGCTAGAAGCTTCATGGGTATCTAGAAGGTCATCCACGCCACAAACCTAAGAAAAATCATGGTGGTCCATCTTCCAATCATGTTTCGGAAGGCCCACCCAAGGATGAGATGCATTCCGTTATGTCCGGCCTTTCAGACCTTCAAATTCACCAGATGTTGGCTATCATGCATGACAAACCAGTGCCTGAAAAGAAATCCCAGGTCAATGCCCCTGCCACCAATAAAGGTTTGTCAAAATTAAAATTTCAACGATGGATTATCGACAGTGGCGCGACTGACCACATTGTTTCTTCTCCAAAATTGTTAGTTCATCGTAATATTGATCATTCTATGCAACTGGTTCGTATGCCTAGTGGGGAGAAGGCTTCAATTACTACAACATGATCATTCCCTCTCAATTCTACTTATACTTTGCGTGATGTGCTATGTGTCCCTACTTTCACAATACATTTGATGTCTGTGAGTAGGCTTACAAAAAATTTGAATTGTTCAGTGACTTTTTTCCTATATTGGTGCATTTTGCAAGACCTTGCTACGAGGAAGACGATTGGTTTGGGTAAGCAACATGGCGGGCTTTATTATTTGGTGACACTATTGGCGGAGAAACCTCCCAACACAACCCACCAATCTCCTTCTCCTTGTCCATCATGCAATCACACTATCACCACTACTGACCGTTGGCATCGTCGTCTTGGCCATGTTTCTTCCTCCAGATTAAATTTTATGTCTAAGCATTTAATAGATTTCCCTTTTATCTCTAATAACGCTTGTCAGGTTTGTCCCTTGGCAAAGCAGAGTCGTCTCCCTTTTGGAACAAGTTCAATTTCCTCTATCAAACTATTTGATTTAATTCATTGTGATATTAGGGGCCCTTATAAGCATTCGTCAATTTCTGGTGCCCGTTATTTTCTTACAATAGTTGATGATTATTCTTGCTTTACTTGGGTATTTTTAATGCGCCATAAACATGAGACTCAACATCTTTTAAAAACCTTTTTTTCTTTTGTTGGCACTCAATTTGATTCCCAAATTAAACAACTTCGTGCCGACAATGGAGGGGAATTTCTTTCTCTTCAGACTTTCTTTCATGAACAGGGCGTCATTTTTCAACACTCTTGCGTTTATATGCCTCAACAAAATGGGGTCGTAGAATGTAAGCATCGCCACATCCTTGAAATGGCTCGTGCTTTAAAACTTCAGGCCAATCTTCCTTCCAAATTTTGGGGGGAATGTGTTTTAACTGCAGTTCATCTCATCAACCGTTTTCCTACTCCTCTTCTTTCTTTTAACACCCCTTTTGAACATCTTTATTCCAAAAAACCGTCTTTCTCTCACCTCCGTGTTTTTGGTTGTCTTGCATATGCCACTAATGTTCATGTGACACATAAATTTGCTCCTCGTGCTATTCCCTCTGTTTTCCTTGGTTATCCCCTTGGTCAAAAAGCCTTCAAACTTTATGATCTTGAGTCTCACAAAATTTTCACAAGTCGTGATGTTAAATTCCATGAAAATATTTTTCCAATCACACTTTTCCTTCCCCCTCTTCACTTTCGGTTCCCTCTTCTTTTCCGGCACCTCCTTTCCCTTTTGACGTGGACCCAATTTTTTCTTCTCCAGCCGCTCCTTTACCTGAGTCGATCCCCACCAGTCTACATCCCATGCCTTCGTCCTCACCTGACACAATCACTGAGCCTGATGAGCCTGGTCCACCTTTACTCTTATCCCCACCGGCTGAACACGCCCCCGGTTCACCCGCCACCAATCCACATGCACCCACACCTGAACCACCACCTCTCTGCCGATCTGAACACATCTCTGTGCCTTCCGTTCGCTTACGTGACTACATCTGCAATCAGGTTATGTTGCCCATCCCTGATCACTCGTCTTCTTTACTGCCGGGTCCTACTAAAGGTACACGTTTTTCGATTTGCAATTATCTCTTATATCATCGTTATTCCTCGGCTCACCTTGCTTTCATTGCAAAAGTCAATAATATTGTCGAACTTAGTTCTTATGAGGAAGCTGCTCCCTACTCTCATTGGCAAGAGGCCATGTAGTCTGAATTGCAAGCCTTGTCCGATAACCACACTTGGAGTCTTACTCCGTTACCTGCTGGAAAGAAGCCCATTGGTTATCGGTGGGTGTATAAAATAAAGCTTAAATATGATGGCTCTGTTGAGCGATATAAAGCCCGGTTGGTTGCTAAAGGTTTTACTCAACTGGAAGGTGTTGATTATCATGATACTTTTTCTCCTACTGCCAAAATGCTCACTGTCCGCTGCCTTCTTGCTCTTGCTGCCGCCTGTAATTGGCCCCTTCATCAGCTTGATGTCAACAATGCTTTTCTTCATGGTGATCTCCATGAGGAAATCTACATGCTCCCTCCACCTGGTCTGCAGCGACAGGGGGAGAACTTGGTATGTCGCCTTCATAAATCTCTTTATGGTTTAAAGCAAGCTTCTCGTCAATGGTTTGCTAAGTTTTCTCAGACAATTTGTTCTACTGGTTACATTCAGTCTAAAGCTGACTATTCATTATTTACACGCCATAAGGGGCACTCTTTCACATCATTATTGATTTATGTTGATGACATTGTTATAGCTATCTTGGCACTCAAGGCTTTTTTGCACCGTCATTTTCGTATTAAAGATCTTGGAGATTTGAAATACTTTTTGGGGATTGAGGTATCAAGATCAAAACAAGGCATTTTCTTATCTCAATGCAAGTATGCATTGGAAATTTTGAAGGATGCAAAACTCCTAGGTGCCGCACCTGTTGATTTTCCTATGGAAAAAGGTCTTAAGCTCTCGGATAAGGGTGAATTACTTAAAGATCTAGCTCATTATAGAAGACTCGTTGGTTGCTTAATTTATTTGACCATCACAAGGCCAGATATTACTTACTCTGTTCATGTCTTAAGCAGGTTTATGCATGCCCCACGTAAACCTCACATGGAGGCCGCACTCCGCATTCTTCATTATTTGAAAAAATCGCCAGGTCAAGGCATATTATTGTCTTCTCAGAATGACTTGACTTTGCGTGCCTTTTGTGATTCTGATTCTGCAGGTTGTCCTAATACTAGAAGGTCTACTACAGGCAATTGTGTGTTTTCGGGATCTTCTTTAATTTCATGGAAATCGAAGCGACAAAAAACTGTATCTTTATCATCAGCAGAAGCTAAATATAGATCTATGGTGGCAGCATATTGTGAGTTGTCTTGGCTTTGATCCCTCCTCAAGGATTTGCGCATCCTTCATCGCCAATCTGCTTTGTTGTATTGTGACAACAAGGCAGCTTTACATATTGATGCTAATCCAGTATTTCATGAGAGAACAAGACATATTGAGATGGATTGTCATTTTATTCGAGATAAGATTCAGGAAGGTTTGATTGCTACACAACAAGTGAGTTCGTCCTCTCAGTTAGCCGATATTCTTACTAAGGCGTTGGGACGAGAAGAATTCAACAATCTTGTTCGCAAGTTGAGAGTTCTTGATATCCACTCTTCAACTTGAGGGGGGGTGTTAGGAAATAAGTTTGTATAATATCAATTAATATCAATTATGTTGTAATTAGGATTTACTTTCCTAGTAAGTTTCCTAGATTAGAAGACTTGTTTTCTTGTACACGAAGACACTCTTGTATAAAACCAATTGTACCTATCAATTAAAAGTATTCTCTTCCAATATCATATTCACAAGCCTATTTTTTTTTTTCCAATAGCATAGTAAAATATCCCAACTGCCCCCCACTAAACCTTTTCTCTGTTCCCTTTTTGCCCCTCCCCATTCAAATGCTAAGCCCCGCGCCTGTTTAGTTTGTACTGAGACGTCGTTCATTTTGAACCAGACTGGTTGGGCTAGTTGGGGGGCAGCGATGGGATGCATTGCTTAGATTTTTAGGATTCATTTGGGGCCGTCAATTCCTGTTTGGGGGGGGCGCGCTGCGAATTTTGCCCTTCTTTTGGTCATCATCTCATCGATTTGTTTGTTGGTTGAGAGATTTTTTGTCATTCGTAGAGCATTGGTCTGAGAGATCTTCCATCTTTGTTGGCTACCTCAACTTAGATTGCTCATATTTGTTGGGTTTTCTTCTTCAACTTTTCAGTTTTTTCTTCCTTTTTCTCCTCTTCTTTCTTGACCATGTCTTCTTTTGATGTTTTGTAGGTGGGATTTTTCTGCTTTAGACAGAGCTGGTTGGCTGTTGTTTTCGTTTCTGTTAAGCAAGAGGTGAGTTTATTTGCTGAAATCAATTGGAAGAAATTAATTATTTTTGGCTTTGTTTTAGCTAATGACATCGGTTGGCAATTTGTGTTGATCGTTTAGCCATATATATTGTTCTTCTTAAGTCCTTAAGGATGAATTGTTGGTATGGACAAAACTCTTTTTCTTTTTTCTTTTTTACAAAACAATTGACTAAACCATCAACGCCACAGAAGGAGAAATCCTTTTTTTTTTGCAGCTGAATACCATGAAAGTTTTAGATGCATTGTCTATCAAAATCATGAAGGAAAATATAATTATGATGGTAAAAATGACTGTTTAAAAGGAAATGAGATCACAACATGGTTCAAAAGACTCCAAACTTGTAAAAACGACTTGCTATAATAAAAGCAACAGAGAAAGACAAGTCTTTTTAGCTTTTTAATAGAAAAAACAAAACAACTTTGTAACAAATTAATGACTTGCTGAGCGAACTGTTGAATCCTTTATTTCATTGCTCAAATTGGTTCCTAGAACGAGTTAGTGATTGGTTTAGAGGATAAGTCTTTAAGAACAATGGTTGTGGCGTATAAGAGTTTATTTTCTCTTGCTGAGTAAACTGTTTTATTCTCTATTTTAGAAACATTTGCTTTCGTCCCCAACAAAAGCAATCAATTCATCAAGGGTAATCTAAATTGTGTAATGATCTATTGTTGTTAATATTTGTTTTTTGTTTTTATACTAATTTTGTGCAATATATATTCATTTGGTGATTTCATGTTAGAGATGTTAAAAACTGTGTTAATAGTTATTTGATGTGGTATGCTGCCAATATATATGACTATGAATGAACATGTATGAGATAGAGTGAAAGAGAGACCAACCTAATGACATTGATGATTGCTGGGGAGAGAAACATAGGAGAATAGTATATGTGTGTTGTTTATCTTTGTAGTTAGAGATAGGCAAGAGACACTTGAGACTCAAGACTTTTCTCACTGTAATGAATTACATACTAAGAAATTATGTGTCACATTATGGTTTTTTTAGAAATGTGTGTTACTCATTTTGTTTATTTTTGATGTTGCAGAAGTTGTTCTTTGGTTTCAGACATCCGCCGATGCCACGAACGCCACCCTATCGGTAATAATGTTTGTGTTATAGCATAATCATTGTTATGTGTTTCTATGACTGTAAAGTTTTCTATGCTTTATAAATCTGTTGCTTGGGGTTTTAAATTTCCATCATAATCCACTCATAAATGGAAGATTTAGATTCATTTGGTTCACTTTTTCATCAAATAAGCTTCTGTTCATTTGTTGTCTTGTTTGTCTCGTATCGCCTTCTTCCTCTTTCCTTCGTTTATGTCTCTGTTGGTATTTGTTGCATTTGGTTCTTCAACTTTTGAGATCTCTCTTTCTTTTTCTCTTCTTCTTTTTTAACCGTGTCTTCTTTTGATGTTTTGTAGGTAATGTTTTGCTGCTTTGGATACCCTTGTTCGAGGTTTTTTTTTCTTTTTTTTTCTGTTTGTTTAGTGAGAGGTGAGTTTCTTGGATTTATGGTTTACATCATCACAGACAATGGAAAGCCATTCTCAAACCACTTAATGGATAAACTATGCGAAGATTTTGTTTCAAGAAACACAACCCTTCAATGTACAATGCCCCGACCAACGGTCTCGTTGAAGCATTCAACAAAACTCTTTGCAACTTGTTGAAGAAAGTTGTTGGGAGATCCAAAAAAAGATTGGCATGAAAGAATAAATGAAACATTATAGGCTTACTGACGAGATATTGGACGCCCACTCATGCTACACCATATTTGCTTGTGTATGGCATGGAAGTTGTTTTGCCTCTAGAAATTCAAATTCCATCATTAAGGAAGGCCATACAAGCTCATAGTCCATCATTAAGGAAGGCCATTCAAATCAAATTAGTGTGGTTGACCACCGCACCTATGATCTACAGTGATGCATCATTACAAGATTTGGGATGTGTATTGATGCAACATGATCAGGTGATTGCTTATGCCTTGAGGCAACTCAAGAAGCATGAGCAGAATTACCCTACCTATGACTTGGAGCTTGCCGCAGTGGTGTTTGCCCTTAAAATTCGGTGACACTACTTGTATGATGAGGCCTGTCAAATCTTCACTAATCACAAAAGCCTCAAGTACTTTTTCACTCATAAAGAGTTGAGCATGAGACAAAGGCGTTGCCTAGAGCTGATTAAAGACTATGATTGTACGATTGAGTACCATCTGGGTCGAGCTAATATGGTGGCAGATGCTTTGAGTAGGAAGTCTTGTGGAAGCTTAGCTCATCTTAGGATGGCTTACCTTCCATTACTGGGAATTGCGGGAAGATGGAGTAGAACTGGGAATGAGTCAACATGGTGGACTACTTGCTAGTTTGCACGTGAGGCCTATTCTAGTTGGGCGGGTGATTACAGCCTAATTGGAAGTTCCTGCACTTTGTATGATAAGACTAGAAGTTGAGAATGGTCCAAGGACGAATTATGCTGTGAGGGATGGCGGAGCCTTAGTAACTGGAACACGTCTCTATGTACCTAAGAACGAAAATTTATAGAGAGAAATCATGGACGAAGCTCATTGTTCAGCTTATTCTATGCACTCGGGTAGTACCAAGATGTATTGGACACTACATGAGTACTACTCATGGCCACATATGAAGGGTGACATAGCTAGGTATGTGAGCAAATGTTTGATTTGCCAACAGGTAAAGGCGGAGCGACATAGACCATTTGGACTTATGCAACCACTTCCGATCCCTGAATGGAAATGGTAACATATCACAATGGATTTCGTTTTCAAACTTCCACGCACTTCGAGAAGACAAGATGGAATTTGGGTGATAGTCGACCGACTCACCAAATTCTCTCATTTCCTACTTATCAAAGAAACTTACTCTTTGGTGAAGCTTGCTAAACACTTCGTGGATGAAATTCTGGGGTATGGAGCACCTGTGTCCATCGTGTCGGACAGGGATGCTAGATTCACATCTCAATTTTGGAAGTGTTTACAAGAAGTTATGGGTACTAAGTTACGATTTAGTACTGCTTTTCATCCTAAATATGGACAGTTGGAAAGAACAATTCAGACGTTGGAAGACTTGTTGAGATCTTGTGTGTTATAGTTTAAAGATAGTTGGGATACTAATGTTTCCTTGGTGGAGTTTGCTTACAACAATAGTTATCATTCAAGCATTGAAATGGCCCCGTATGAGGCTTTATATGGGAGGCAGTGTAGAACTCCTATATGTTGGAATGAGGTGGGTGAGAGAAAATTAGAGAAAGTATAAAGTATTCAAGAAACGATAGAGAAGGTGAGGATGATAAGAGAAAAACTCAAAACCGCACAAGACCGACAGAAAAGTTATGCTGACAACATGTCCAAAGATCTTGAATTTACAGTTGGGGATTGGGTTTTCTTGAAGTTATCTCCTTGGAAAGGTGTGATGAGGTTCGGGAAACGGGGGAAGTTAAGCCCTCATTATATCGGACATTATAAGATCAAGGAACGCATCGGACCCGTTGCCTACAGACTTACCTTACCTCCATAACTATCTCGGATTCATGAAGTATTTCACGTAACTGTGCTACGGAAATACATACTCGACCCTTGTCATATCCTGGAACATCAACCTATGGATTTGAGAGAAGGTTTGATGTATGAAGAGCAGCCAGTGCAAATTCTGGATAGGAAGGAACAAGTGTTGCGCTCTAGAACCATTCCGGTAGTGAAGGTATTATGGAGGAGTCAAATTGTTAAGGTAGCCACTAGGGAACCCGAGGCGCAGATGCAAGCCAAATACCCTTATCTCTCTGATTCTAGAGTTTCAACTTCCCTAGCCATTGTTGCCAATTGAGCTTTGAGACTATCTTCCTCCTTAAGGTGATAAATACTACCGCTAGAAGGATTAATAGAAGATTTTGCCTTTTAGGAATTAGGCTCAAATGTGTTGGGAGTGCTCCAAATATGAGATTTCTCTGCAATTTCATCAAGAAAATCAAAAGCATCTTCAAGATCTTTATACATAAATTTCCATTGCACATTATCTCAATAAATTGTCGATCTTTAGGTGTTAAGCCATCATAAAAATGACTTACCACCCTCCATCTTTCAAAACCATGATGAGGACATAACATTAACAAATCTTTAAGTCCTTCCCAAGCTTGAGTTAAAGACTCAGTGTCTTTTTGAGAAAATGTGGTCATCTCTCTTTTGAATTGGGAAAAATTTCTTGAAAAATTCAGTTTGCTGAAAGCCATGTTCCAATTGTTCTTGGCCTTAGAGAATAAAGCCAAGTTTTCGCTTTATCTTTCAGTGAAAATGGAAAAAGTTTTAGCAAAACTATATCAAGCCTACACCCTTGTGTTGGAAAAGTTCCACAAACTTCCTCAAACTCACGCACATGTGAATATGGATTTTCATATTTCATTCCATGAAAAGTTGGTAAAAGTTGTATCATGCCTGGTTTAAAATAAAAAATTTGACCATTTGATGGAAAAATGATGCAAGATGGTACACCTGTACAAGCAGGATGCAAATAACCATGTAATGTCCTAACAAGTGGATTCTCATCGTTATGAACACTATGATTCTCATCATTATGAACAATATGATTATCTTCATCATTTTGGGGCCCTTCCAATACATTATTATAATTATTATTGTTCCCAGCCATTTGTGGTGAAGTTTGGTCAAAATGAGGTCTCTTTGCAAATCTACCAAATCGATCACGATATCTCATAAACAAAAATAATAAACGGAGCAAATAAAAATAAAAATAAACTAAATTTCTTTTCTTTTATTTTTTCAAAAAATTTTGAAAAAAAAACAAAAAAACAAAAAAACAAAAAAGAAAAATTGAGTTCGATAAGCCTTATCGAATTAGCTTTGGAAACTAAAACCGCAAACCTTAACAATGAATTTCCTTGTAATACTTATTGCTTTACCGTTCCCCGGCAACGGCGCCAAAAACTTGTTGCGTCCACCCAAGTGCAAGTAGTCCCACGTAGTAATAATCTTGGAAGTCCAAGTATCGTATCCTCAAGGAGCAGGTAGGCAAATGTATGCACACAAAGAAATAATTAAACATGTTTGTACCATATCTAACCGACCACTCACGTCGTGACACGTGGAACACCCTCAAAGCCGAGACCAGCTCAACCGGGCCATACCGAATGTTCGTTCGGCATGATGTACCGATTCAGGAGGTCGATTATGCACCATCAGTCCCTTCGCTAACCTTCGGCATGGTCTGCTGAGCAACCAACCGTCACGTCAATCCAATTCTGTCAGATTACCTCAGAACTTCTGCCGGAACCTGTCAGAGCACGTGTCGATCTCCAAAGACACTCCCACGAGTCCCATATCGAAACTAAGTGCTAAGAGCATCACAAATGCTCTCTATAAATAGAGCCCCTTGGCCCAGCCAAGTGGTAAGAGTTTTTGACTTGACTAGTGCTTCGGCTATCAATAGAATCGCTCTTAGTTATTAACTTTGGCATCGGAGTGCCTTCTGCAAGTACCACACCGGTATCCTCTCCTCAGTTCGGATCCAGCCCCCGCTCGAACCTTCGGACATCACGGAAGAAGGTCACCCCGGTTTTTGTCCATCAGCACACTTGTAAGTTAGCCTAAACTCTTCTTCGTTCAGATTTAGCGCGAACAAAACATACCACAATAAAAGTGACAAGCAAAATGGAAAAGTAATTTGATTTGATTGTTGTAGAAATTGAGTTTAAAAATAAAATATCAATAATGGAAATGCTAAGGCATCAAGGTTCAATTATTTAGGCAAAATATGTTTCATGATCTTTAATCCAAATTATAAATCGATTAAAACCAATTTAATTTTTCAATGTTATCTTTTTATTGTTCAGAAAATGGAATTATATAATATCTACTCTTTTAATTTAAAAGCATGCTAAGTTAGTTCTTAACAATGCGAAAAATATAATTTAACTCATGAAAAGATAGTAGCACTTAACATCAATCAAAATAAAAGGATATGAAAATATTGCACAACCAAAAATAAAAGAATTTAGCAATTCATATTGTATATTGGATTAAAGAACAATTCACAAACTTACTCAAAGAACATACTCTATAGCCTTAGCTAGAGTTCTAGTAACTCATTACAAAGGAAAACATAAACTAAATTTTGAATTAAATGGATTAAGAAATCTGTCGTAGTGATTCCCTTGCCAAATAAGTTGATGGGTGATTTATAGTAGTTAAGGTGGGTAATGAAGGGTTGAAGTGAGGGATTAATTGGATTAAACATGTGTTGAGGGTGGAGAGTTAGTGTAAAAGAAATAATGGTGACGTCGTGTGCGTTAAATGGCTATGAATGACATGAAATAGGCTCTTTAGCTTCAACGGTTTTGTCTTCTCTTCTCTGTCTTTACTTCTCTTTATCCCACAATCAATTCTTCAATAAAATCCGCCAGCAATTCTCTTCACACTTGGCTTGAACTTGGACAAATATATATCTTCATCTTTTGGCTTTCCAACTTCCTACAAAAGATAAATTCACCTAATAAGTTCACCAAATTAATACAGAAAATTCATAAATCCAATTGGTGAGAATAAAATATAACAACAAGTGAAATTATATTTCTTAAGCCAAAATTATATCATAAATTCTCCAAAATAATATTAAAAAGATGTATTTGAGACTCTCATCAACATTGTGCATGCTGAAGTTTGAGAATCTTAAATTGTGCCTTTGACAGGTTGAAAATTTTGGTTAAGTCCGTTTTTCAGACGAGACTCTGCTAAAATTTCTGCAGAAAGTCTCGTCTATTTGAGTAAGTGGGCCCGACATCAGATTGGTTTCGGAAATACCACAGGATGCCGGTGAATCATGGAGTGGCGTCTCGTTCAACACAACGGTCGGACTTGTTGGAATAGTTCAGAATCTCGAACAATTCTTCACCACCTCCCAACATTGGTCATGGTTGAAAGTTTTTTTGCCTTACCCAATAGCACCAAACCACATTTGTGCTTGCATAATCTATTCAAAAAAAAATATTGGAAATGCAAGAAACATTTAAAAAAATATTGGAAATGCAAGAAATATTAACAAAATATTGTAAATGCAAGAAATATTAACAAAATATTGTAAATGCAAGAAATATTAACAAAATATTGGAAATGCAAGAATCATTAATAAAAAAAATTGGAAATACAAGAAATATTAACAAAATATTGAAAATGCAAGAAACATTAAAAAAAATATTAGGGCATTAAAATTAATAAAACGAAAATTACAAATAATTTACCTCATTACTAAGATTTTCCCCACTTCTATGGTTGCCCCTCACTTTTGCCAAGGCATCTCTCCATTTCCCCAACTCTTTATTGAAAAGTTTCCACCTATTAGACAATGGCATTTCTGTACAAGTCGACCCTGATCTTTCATAAAATTCGACATGAATTTTTCTCCACATATGAGAGAATTTCATCTCATTACCCGTGACGGGACAATGACTAATTTGGACCCAACACTCACACAACAAAACATCTTCCATGGTACTCCACGCCCCTCCAGTTTCAATAGAAGAAGCCATAAGATGATAAATAAAAATACAATTTGAAAGTGAATAAAATGTTGAGCAGAAAGTGAATAATAATAGAAGTAGAAGAAAATGTATGAGGATTTGGTGTTCAAAGTGAAGAGTATTGGTAGGTATTTGTAGAAAAAAAATTCCAGAATTTTTGGGTATTTTTTAAAAAAAAATTCAAATTTTTTTCATAATTTTATTGCAAAAAAAAAAGGCAACCATTGGATTGGAGGAGAAAAACCGATCGAAGCGCCCAGAGGCTGCCACATGGCTTTTAGCCATTGGCAGAAAGTCAAGGCTGACGCCAGGCTGGCGTCAGCAATGACGTCAACCCCCCTCGGGCTCGGCCTTATTAACTCCATATATCTGCTCAGCTCGACCTTATTAACTCCATACATGTGCTCGGCTCGGCCTTATTAAGTCCATATATCTGCCCGACTCGGCCTTATTAATTCCATACTTGTGCTCGGCTCGGCTTTATTATATCTACACATATGTGTTCGGCTTGGCCTTATTACCTCCATATGTGTGTTCGGATCGGCACCTTCTCCACCTTGTACCACCCTTTTGTAAGTAAATTGCAACTTATTATCTTCATACGTGTGATCGGCTCGGCCAAACACTAATCTTACTTGAAAGTCCCCAGCCAAGACTCTATTCTCAATTGTGAACTTGGGGGCTTCTGTTGACGCACGATCTAACCTCCCTTGGGTGGGCCTCTAATGGGTTGCCACGTCAACAGGGCCAAGGGTAAAAGTCAGTTGTTCTTCTCCTACAAAAGGGACTCTCTCTTCTTGCTGAAAGGGGACCTCGAAAAAGACAAGGAGCCAAGAGAAGAAAGTGCTCTCGGCCACTCTCTCTCCTTTCCTCCAGATCTCTACATGTTATACTCGTAATTTTGGGACAGCCGTATTATCAGAATCATACAAGTAGAACGAAGAGATTGAGTGGTTCACCCATAAACTTGGGCTACATCCACTGGTTGTTGTATTTGTATATATGTGTAGAGATTACATTGGGATAGGCTTGAGAGCCTTTACAAATGGGAGAAGAGATAGATCTTGAGGAAATGGGAAAGAGTGGCCGATAGCACTATCTTTTCTTGGCTCCTTGTCTTTTTCGAGGTCCCCTTTCAGCAAGAAGAGAGAGTTCTTTTTGTAGGAGAACAACAACTGACTTCTACCCTTGGGCCTGCTGACGTGGCAACCCATTAGAGGCCCACCCAAGTGAGGTTAGAACGTGCGTCAACAGAAGCCTAGTGTTTGGCCGAACGTGCGTCACAGTCGAGAATAGCTTCTTGGCTTGGGACTTTCAAGTAAGACTAGTGTTTGGCCGAGCCGAGCATACATATGGAGATAATAAGTTGCAATTCACCTACAAAAGGGTGGTACAAGGTGGAGAAGGTGTCGAGCTAAACGCACATATGGAGATAATAAGGTTGAGCCGAACACATATGTGTAGAAATAATAAGGTCGAGCTGAGCACATGTATGGAGTTCATAAGGCCGAGCTGAGCAGATATATGGAGTTAATAAGGCCGAGCCGAGCACATGTATGGAGATAATAAGACCGAGCCGAACACATAACAAGGATATGATGATATAATAAGGCTGAGCCAAGCCATCTCGGTCTTAATGTAGTTCGAGTTGTCTCGGTATTAATGTCATTCTAGACGTCTCAGTATTAATGTCATTCGAGACGTCTCGGTCTCGATGTTGTTCGAGCCGTCTCGGTCTCGATGTAGTTCGACCCGTCTCGGTCTTGATGTCGTTCGACCTGTCTCGGTATCGATGTCGTTCGAGCAGTCTAGGTCTCGATGTCATTCGAGCCGTCTCAGTCTCGATGTCGTTTGAGCCGTCTCGGTCTCGATGGCATTTTGAACCTGTGATAGTGACAGTGGAGAACCCATTTCATGGGAAAATATCTTTTGTTGGCGAGGTACCCCTTTGTGGACAGTTGTTCGGTGATGTTGTAGCACTCTAGAGAATGTTTGTGCTTAGCTGAGCATTGGGGCAGTACATATGGCCATTGCAACTTAGGTGCCGAGTAGTACATGCATTGGTGACATAGGAATAATTCTAGCATGCACGCAAGAACTCTTTCCCAGAACTGAGCACAAGAGTCCATGCTATCTCACAATATGCTAGCAAATAGTATAATAGGTAGGCTACCCAAAATGGTCTTAGCCTTTATGTGATCCCATGTGAGTATTACTCATTGGGATTATAATTATTAATAATTATGCCCTTCAAGATTTTATCACATGATGCATAATAATATTTATAATATGATATTAAATGCATAATATTTCGAACATGTAGACATGAGATAAAGTTTTTCTCATCGCTTTGGGTGGTCTCAAACAAGGCACGTGGAATTGCGCATGTTTAGACAATGGGGATGGCGTTGCCGATTGGGTGTTTGTATTTGTAGATATGAGCCCCCGAGTCCAGCAGCGTTGCAAATTAAGTGGTCATTGTAGATTACAGTGGTTTGCTTCTCTAGGAATGATGGGTTGACGCTCTGCATGCTATGTTAGGCAACGTGGTGCCCGTCAACATGATGTTCATTGACATGGTGCTGGTCGACACGGCAGTGGAACCTGGTCAGAATGGAACGGGGGAGTCACGGGTGAATCTAGGTGGCCGATGGGGCCGAGCCCACTTGGTCGCTACATTGGGTGGTTGGGGGCTAAGCCGAGCCTTGTCCCCCTTTTTCTCATTTCACTTGCTGCTCTTGGTTTCTATCTGAGCAGGGGAAGAGATTCTTGGTCTCTCTTAGAGAGAAGAGGGCATGGGTGCCCTGAGCAAATATTTGGTTGAGAAAGGACCCAGCCTAGCAAAGAGATGACCCAATTTTGCTACCACGTTTTGATGAGGTTGTGGGTGAGTCGGCAGTAGTAGTAAGGTCTGGTTGGTAGTGATGAGATCGGGTCGGCGATAGTGACGAGGTCTGGTACGACAGCCATGGGACCTTGTCAGTAACGTTGGTCACTCGCTGCTCTTTGAGTTGTGACTATTTTTTCTTCTTTGTTGGTTTCTAATGGGTCAACAATAGAACCAAGTTTGGTTCTCATCCTTTCTATCACCCTGGCTGCGGACTTGGATTGAGAAATAAGGAAGGACCAGAACCATAGTAGCAGGTGACCATGCAAAGTGGTTGATGTCATCCATAGTGGTCGAGTCGCCCATGCAAGGTGGTGGGTGACCGTGCAAAGTGGTCGGCACTCATCCACGGTGGTCGTAATTTGGTTCATGTATCGACACATAATAACAATATAATATTGTAAGATATTATGTTATGACAACCCATCACATATATTAAGTTGAGATATTATACCTAGATATTTATGTTTAGATATTTATGCAAACAGATATTTTGTTGAGATGAAGATATCTTGTAAAGGGTGATCTCATTCGAGAAGATAATGGAGTGTGAGGAGGTGGTGGCTCTAGTTTCTGGAGAAACAGAGCATTGCAAAAAGCTGCCTCCTTCTCTTGTTTCACGTTTGTTTCCAAGGATGAGAGATCATAGTGAGACTTCGATGTTGCAGCAGATGTTGAAGTGGGTGAGAGCTGCATGAACGTTCTTTTTTCTTCATGGTGGGGATGAGGAACCTGGTGGTGTTATGAATGTCTGCGAAGGCCTTGGTGTTGAATCCGACGAGAGTTCGAAGCACGGTCAGGTTGGAGTCGAAGACCTTGACCCGCTCCAAGCCTTGAGGTTAGGACTTGAGCTGTCGGCGATTCTGCCTTGGTCCACAGAAGTCAGCGTGAGATGATAAGAGGGAGAGAATGAGGCAAGGAGACACATGGGTGTCTTAAGCAGATTTTAGAGTCTAGAGAACGTGACCTTTTTTGCTTGTCTTGGTTGGCTAAGAGTGTTGGGACCATGAGGATGGTTGCTTTTGGTGGAGATGGACTTCCAATTGTTGAGAAAAATGAGAATGACATGCCTTTCATGCCGGTTCCCACAGATGGCGCCAAATGTTATACTCGTAATTTTGGGATAGCCGTAGTATCACAATCATACAAGTAGAACGAAGAGATTGAGTGGTTCACCCATAAACTTGGGCTACATCCACTGGTTGTTATATTTGTATATATGTATAGATATTACATTGGGATAGGCTTGAGAGCCTTTACAAATGGGAGAGCAGAGAGATGTGGAGGAAAGGAGAGAGAGTGGCCGAGAGCACTCTCTTCTCTTGGCTCCTTGTCTTTTTCGAGGTCCCCTTTCAGCAAGAAGAGGGAGTCCCTTTTGTAGGAGAACAACAACTGACTTCTACTCTTGGGCCTGCTGACGTGGCAGCCCATTAGAGGCCCATCCAAGTGAGGTTAGATCGTGCGTCAACACATGTTATATGTGTAAAATGTATTAAACTTGCATTCAATATGTTGGTTTTGCTCTGGACAATTGGAATACTATAATTATCAAGCTCCAATTAATACACTTATTTTATATGTGGTATTTCATGTATAAAATAATTTTATAATCGAAAGTTTAAACATTAAATGAAGATAGTTTAAAATTTTAAAAAATACATACCGACATAGGATACAAAATGAAATAGTATGATACTCTCTATTTACCACATATAAAGTACGTTTGCATATAACAAGCACACATATGCATTTTTGTTAGATTCAAACAAGCACATTTTCCAAAATATAGTCTTAAAGTTATGTACTACTATGTTTAGTATATTTTTTTGGCCGAGCCTATATTAGTATATATGAATATTTGTATGTGGGTACTAAAATATAACAAATAAGAAATGAATATATATATATATATATATATATAAGACCTATAAACTAAAAATAATGCAATATATAATTAGAAACTTAAAATTTTTTGGAGAAAATGGATCAGATCGGAGAACTTCGGAATTTTTCGAATCAGAATTTCGGAATTTTTGGCATTTATCAGAAATATCGGATATCGAATTTATGGGAGTCGAAATTTTTTGGAAAATACTCGGACCAAAATCGGTAGGTTTTTCAATTCAATTTACACCGCTAGACTAGAAGATTGGGGACTAGAATTTTTTATTTATTTTTATTTTGGTGAGAAAGGGATTGGAATATTTGGGTTGTAGTAGTGGGGCAGGTCGGATCTTGATTATCTAGTGGAGGGTGGGGGCTGTGGAGACAGGGAGAGATGTCGGTGTGTAGGGTTGGTGGAGGGAAGACGCTAAGAATATTAGGGTAGGGGCGGTGGGGTGAGGGGAAGCTTGGTGGTTGGACATAACGAAAAAAGAAGCACTTATCGGTCGAAGGAGGAAGCTGGGGAGTAGTTGATTTTTAAAAAAATGTTATTTTAATGTTAATTTTTATATTATATTATATCTTTATTTTTATTTTATTTTATTTTATGAGTTTTTATTATTTTAAATGACTAGGTTTGGATTTTTTTTTACACATACAAAATTACCAAAAAGCCCCTGCCACATAATCAATTTTGACCGCCTTTTGAATGGTGTTAACAGTAAGGAGCAACTTAAAATACCAAACCCAAGTCACTAAAGCAGAGTAAGATTTGACAATAATTTCAAGAGTACTACAATAAATAAGCCTTTTTAGGAAATATTAGAAGTGGTTTTGCTATTGCTAACAATCAAAATCAAACAATCAATAGCATTTGAAGAATTTGAAGAGACTATTTCAGAAGTTCCATTTTTTTTTTTTCCCTCCTTTATACAACGGATATTGGAAAAGGGGAGGAATCAAACCTAAACCTGAGAAGAGAAAAAGCTCTTAACCACTTGAATTACAAGTTTCTTGCCACATATCCCCTTGGATGCTAGAGATGCTCTTACACGATAGTAAAGAGGACTAAAATGTAACCTACCTCAAAACAAACGTACGATTACAGCATGGGCTAATAGATTGACACCGCGCATAAACTAGAGGGAACCAAAAGGTAATTAACCTTCAATGAAAATAATAAAAAAATTCTTTTGGAGCCAGCCAGCTGCACTTTTTAGGCATTGGATTATCAAAAGGCTAAAAGGGTCATGTGGTTTTATCGAGAAGGAAAACTTGGAAAAGAGACAGAAATGTAACTTTGCATTTTAAAGATTGATCAACAATTTTGTGTCTCAAAAATCGAAATGAAAACTTCAATATTTATTGACATTTTAAAGTATGAAGCCCCAACGTAATTTCACTATAATAGCCATTGTATTGGCCCCAGAGAAACCAGTGGAGTACAACATTATATTTGAATGCTCCGTAAGATCACAAGTACTTGACCATACCACGACCCTCCACACTTAGTTTTGTGGCCTGAAGCTGCTTCTTCTTCGGTGCCTTCAACTGCTGCAACTTCCTATTCATCTGCCATTACAAAAAATACAAATATATAAAATATTAACGTTTCTTTAAATACTATATCAATGGAGATTTTGCAAAGGGAACCTCAACAAGAAGCATACAATTGAATAGTGGAGTCCAATTTTCCTGTTACTTACCAAATGCCCTATGCCCACCCTGTTTCCCTTAGTTTTTTGACATGTGGCAAACCACTTAACAGCACTTATCTCTGTTAAAGTCCACCTCTCATCATCCCACCCAGCCAACCGCCATCCTCCCGTCAGCCTTAACCCTCTAGGATCCAACCCAACCCGACCACCACCACCCATCCCACCCCATCTGCTCTCTCTCTCTCTCATCCAAATTCTATTATGCGCTTTAAAAGGGTTGCAATGAGTCTGAATCTTCCATGTGTATGTGGCTTTCGTCCATTAGACTTGGTTTTGCCAGAAAACACATTCAACCCAACACAAAACAATAATCATTTGATGTTCATCTACAGTGTTGGTTTCAAAAGGCATCTTCCCAAACGGCTCTTGCCCACTCGAACTCCAGCTCCTCACCCTTTGATGAATCTGATGACAATTATGTTAATGTTTGCACCACACGTACCAACTTCCAACAACTCCAATACAACCTATTTCTTCTCTGAACTAGATACCTTGAGGTTGATAGCAACCTCAACAGTATAAGAAACGAACCCAATTTGACATTTTCCTTCTTCCATCAGTTGAAGGGAGATGGGTTTCCAACAAGACATTCCGTGCTTATTAGAATCTTATGCTCGTGGGGTTTGGGTTGGCAGAGAGAGAGAGAGAGAGAGAGAGAGAGAAGCGGAGGTGGTGGGGTTTGGTTGAATCCAAGAGGGCTTAAGTCGGAGGAGGAAGGATAGGGGTTGGCTGGGTGGGTTGGATGATGGGAGGTAGACTTAACAGAGTAGTAAAGGTACACCCACGGCCCAATACAGGGGAAAAAAACCTAAACTGTGCAAGGGTAGAAGTAACAGATCTAAAGGTAGCTGAAAGAAATTCTCAAACAAGGGAAACCTTGTTCAGATTGTTGACCATACTAAACGGAAAAAATGATGCCCACTTAGATGCCGAGTAGCTACCACATATTTTATTTTGTTTTTCAATTTGTGCTTATATATTTACCAGTAGCAAAAAAGAAACCCACCTTCATACGGCGCTGATCCTGTATCGCTTGTTTAGCACGGGCTCTAATTTCATCAGGATCAATCTTAGATTGTGGGCGCACCACAAAATCCATTGGTGTCGCTTCTGGCCTTGAGGCATGTTGCCTAGAAGATGATTGGCCGGATTTTCTTTCCCTGTATCAAAGTCAAAATTAAAATGAAAGAAATGCCCCTTAGACAAAAGCGCCAGAACAAATAAGCAGCAATTGAAGTTTAACCCTTTGGGATTATTAAGAAGCATGTTTAATCTATCCTCAAATTATACCTTGAAAATTCATCCAAGTCCAGATCACCATCTCTAGATTCCATTCCTGTACCATTATTCACTGGCCTGTGTAATAAAATATATAATTTAATTTAATACAACTAAATGCACCAGATTTAAAGAAAACGTATATTGAGTTCAACACAGATTTGCATTCACGCATAGGAGCAATAAGGTATTGTTCACACAAGGAAAAAAAAAGTCTCACAGTACTTTTTCACTGGTGGCCTTCTAAAGGGAACCCTGTCATCATCAATGTTTCTCATATCCTCAAACCTTGTACTTTTATTAAATATAGGTCGACTCTGCAGTCATGTGAAACAGACCAGATGTCAACACCATTGCATACAAAACATGAAGAATACCATTTAGTGAGCATTAAAACTAGGATTAACAAATAATTAGCATCTCAAGGAAAATTTATCTATGGTTAATGGGAAATGGGGTTCTTCAATCTGATTAGTGCCACAGTTTTTCAATGAAAATATCATTAAGAAGAATAAGATCTTCACATATTTGTATATGAAAGAAAAATTGGCAGAAAAACTCCATATGACTATGGAAGGCAAGAACTGGAGAACAAAACAAATTACCCATTTGTCAACCAATTCCTTCGCAAGCTTTCTGTTGGAAGTTGTTTCCTCATCAGATTTTGACAAAAACATGATGACCTGCCCAAGAACAAAGTAGATCAGTTCAAGTTGTCACATTAATTGGAAATCCATAACCATTGTTTGAAGCCTCATAAGATCATAACCTTTTTTTTTTTCCTAAGAAAGAAGATCCTAACCTTTCCAAGGCCACTCTTTTTCAGTTGTTCTCTTCTATCATATTGCTCTAGATCAATGGGGAACTGCATAACAGAAGCAACATTTCAGGTTCTACTGTTGACAACCATTACTAAATGTCACATACTAAAATGGGTAAGAAGGTACATACATCAGTCAAAATCTTCAAAATTGCTGCACGTATATTTATATTTGGTAAACTTCCATCAGGAAGAGGTTCAAGCCAATTCTTCAGCAGAGTTAGCACTCCATGATCTAAGAACTCTTGTTGAAGCTGCTTCCTGCAAAGACCACAGTTAAAATCAGAAAGTATTCTCACAATTTTTTTAAAAAGGAAAAGTATTCTTACAATTGATAGAGAGAGGGAGAGAGAGATATATATCGCATGCAACCAGCTTACTTTGAGAGGACCTCTGTAAGAAGAGGCAACTTCTTGAGCTTATTAATGGCAGGTTTCCCCTGTCTATTAAATTCTGCATCCTCTTCAGCTGTAACCTCGAGCTCAGCCATGACATTCTCAACCAGCAATGCTATTTCTGCTGGACTTTTTTCATTCTTCTTCCTTTTCTTACCCATCTTAAATAGTTCCTTGATTTCATCATCTTCCTCACCCTCCTCAGCCTAGAAAAATCCAATCAATAAACAAATATGAAAAGCTATTCAGCCATGATGAAACCATATAGACAAAGTAGTAAGCAATAAACAGGCTTAGTGAGTCATCAGTTGCAATCAACATGTGGTATCTGATATAAGTTGAAGACAGGAAACGTTGTCTATCAACCGAAGTTCCACTATATCTTGTGCCTTTAAATTTCATGCTGTGGCATTATAACATTAGCATATAGATCTAACGATGATAGAAAGCAAAAACCTGAGGATGATGACTAGGAGAACGTTCATTGTCACTTCCATACCGGTCAGCAGGATGCACACCAGTGTCATCTATAAAGTTGTCATCATCAAATGTCCTGACACCCTCTTGATCATCCTATAAAATTGAACAGGAGAAAACAATTAGTAAGTTACAAAAGTAAGCTGAAGTGAATATCAGTAAGACAATACATTATAGTTATGGAAAACAAAATCAAACAGGCATGGGTATTTAACACCTACAGATTCTGAACATCATCAAACAAACAGATTCTCGCCGACAAAATTGCAGTTGGCACAATTTAAATGTAAAATCTTTTAGAAGAAAATGGGATAACAAGAACCTTTTCACTACAAACCATTCTTCTTGCAAAACCATGACAGAAAAACTATATCAATTAAGTACTTCTAGACAAAAGTTGTTGTAGATATCAGAAATTAAGCTGTTCAATATATATAACACTTCATCGGCCTGAAAATTCAGAGATAAAATCAGCAAAAACCATCAAACAACTATTTTTAAAAACTATGTATACATCATAATTGTTAAAACAAAGCAAACGAAGACCAATTCAACTCAATCATTTAACAGTCGAGAGCAACTCACAAAATCGCACAACCCCACCATATTTGTAACCTCAGAATAAAACCCAAATGCTAAAAGGAAAATAAAATACTGATGATAACCTCAGAATCGCCGCCGGCGATGGTGTCCCACATCTCCTTGACCTCACCATCCGTGGCCGCCTTGTCGGAAAAGGATCTCCTTGGAAATTTGGGTCCCTTCTTCTCTCCCTTATGCCTCTTCTCCTTCTTCAGCCTCTTCCCACTGCCCTCATCTCCATCCTCTCCATCATCGTCCACCAAATCAGAGCTCACAGGCAGTTTTCCCACGTGGCTCTTCTTGATTAGCCGCTTCCTTGGCTTGGATTTCAAGGACGAGGGGTCGGCATCGTAGACGGGGGTCTGGGACTGGTCTCGATCGCGCAAATCGTCGTTGTCTTCTAGGCCGTCATCTTGGTGGGGCTCGGGAGATGGGTCACGACCCGCTCCGAAGTCATCGTAGTCCATCAATGGCTCCCCATCTTCGTCGCGGTACCTGAAACCAATAGTGGCGATTAGATGCACGGAATCGAAGAAAACCCTAACCCTAATTTTGCGAGATAAGGGCGTACGGATCGTCTTCGAAAGGCATGGTGCAGTGGTGATCAGGATGCCAAACTGCGAGATATCACGAGTTTCGTTTTCCGCCAACAAGAATTCAAGAAATCCCAAATTGCACGTTTGATCCCTGTTACCCTGAGAAAAAAATTTGAAGAAAGAATACAGAAAACAAACCCTAACATGAATTTAGGAGCCAGAGAAATTGATCGTTGAACAACCCATTAATCGTAACCCTAAAACAGAAATACCATAACCAGTTTAAGCATGTCCTAGACCGGTGACAAATTGAGGAACTATAGGAAAAAGATGAGAGAGCAAATCAGTTCCATACTCAGCACGTGACCAGAGAGGACGATAGGTGCTTCAACCGGGTGCCAATGGAGGAGCTGAAGAAATGAACGGAGAAAGAGAATAAGAAGAAAAAGAGTGGCTGGCTGGGCGATGATGGAGCTTCTTTCCGTCCTGTGTTATTTGTGCTCCATAAACCACCTGTCAGACAAAATTTAGGGAGTAATTGGAAAAAAAAACAACTCCAACAATGTTCCTGTTCATCTCATAAAATATGGGACTTCTAGTAGCTCTTATACTGAGAATTTATCAAAAATAGCCAAAATTTACCTTTTACTTTAAAAAATGTCAGTTTTTATAAAATCTTTTAAATATAGTCAAAAACTCATATAAATAGACACAAATACCCTTAAAAATTAAAACCGACATAAACCTAAAAAGCAAAACTACACACAAAATTTGGATTCGCACGCACGTTTGTAGCCTTTGGTTGAACTACTGCTGAGCACCCACATCTGTAGCCTTGGTCTAAAGCAATTCCAACATTCCCTAATTCAACTTACCGATCTGTAATCTCATGTTTGCTTTTCTTTCTCTCTCTCCTTCCATTTTTGTTTTAATTCCATGGTTTTCTGTTGGCCACTTGAAATAGTTTATTCAACTTATTAATTTTGTTTGTTGGATTGGATTTGAAGATAAAGAACTTATTAATTGTATTTCTTTTTCAATTTGGATAAATAAAATATTTACAATTTGGGTCTGCCTGGATCATTGTAAATTAAATTAGGGAGTATTGAGGCTATACAGATGTGTTGCCCATTGGTATGGTTATTAAGTTCCTGATCAACTCCCATAGAGACACTCCTCATTTCATGCAATGACGATGCTTTGTACAAATGTGATTATATGACCTTTATGTGCGAAAAAAAGAGTTTTTCAATGAGTTGAATATTCAAAACATAATTATTGAATACTAGTGTCTCTAATATAAGTTTTTAAGTTTCTTGGTCCTATTGACGGATATGTCCTCTCAAGCTGCTGCGATAAACACATCAATGACAGCTCTCACAAAGACAGTGGGTGTGTTCCCGAAGTCTTGATAACAAAGTCTTTGCACATAGATTCAATACTTTGATAACATATCTTTTCATTTATCCTATCTCGACGTCTTTGCACATAGATTAAATACTTAGACATTTTCAAGAGAAATAACGTCACCTAAGAAGGAAGGTGAACAACTTGTTTTATAAGCAAAGCTATAGTTCAAGCTAAAGTACAGACCCTCATGGAGAGATTGTGGACCTTGGCAGCACGGGATCTCTTTGTAGATGTTGATTCTCGGACCTTTTTTTTTCCATTAGCATGATCTTTCTTTTTAAGTTAATGTGGGTTTTAATTTTTAAGGTCATTTGTGTTTATTTAGGTGAGTTTTTTGCTATATTTGAAAGATTTTATAAAAACTGACATTTTTTAAAGTGGGGGATAAATTTTGGCTATTTTTGATAAATTCCCCTTATATTTGACAAGAGAGAAAGACTCATGGCTCTCTAAAATTTAATGATGCTTCATTTTATGAGTATTTTCAACCTTTAATCTATATATGTAAAGCAAAAGGTAGAGAATGATGGAACATTCAAAATACCAAAAAATGTCATCAGTTAATGCAAACTTTAATAATTGAAATTATTAATTAAATAAGAATAATATGGTAAATTCACACTTTTTCATATTTAAAAAAATTAAAAAAAATAAAAAATTAGATAATTGATCTTATTTTTATGGAACATAACTACTCATTATATTTTTTAATTCTAAAATAAATTTAATTTTTTTAAATAAATTTAATTTTTTTAAATAAATTTAAAAAAAACTCTCACAATCGCGGACGCGCGTGTGGATAGGCTAGTTAATACTAACTATTTTTTATACTATTTTTTAATGGAGATTGACAAATTAAAAAAGAGTTATAACATGTATGACTGGAGAGTATAACTGGAGTTAAAATTTCATATAGATCTCCTAAAATATGGGTGCATTCTAGTCATTTTAGCTCCTTATCTTCTCACTTCTCTCTCCATCTATCCCTCTGTCCCTCTCTTCTCTCCCATCTCAAACCCAAACTTAGGGGATGAAACAGTAAGCTTTTTATTTTTTGGTTGGGAGAAAATTCCCAAACTTTACATTGGTTCACGAAAGGAAATCAATTTTCTTAATTTCCCATCAGAAGGGAAATTGAAGATTCCTATCCTAAATTTGTTGAGGCCGGAAAAATAATTAAAAATATCATTTCATGTTTAATTAGTGTGGAAATTGGAAATCAAATTTATTTAGTTTTCATATTATATTCCTAAATCAGAAATATGCATTAAAAATTATAATTAGACTCTTGTTTTTTTATCATAAAGGATTTTTTAGGTTTGTGAAATTATCGTCTGTAGTCATCAATGTTTTTTCTGTGACACTAGTGGTTGTTGGATATATGCCCTTAAAGCCAACTATTTATGTAATAATTAATGTTAATGACATCTTTTGTAATGACTTACTAAGTTATTTATGGGCAAGACCAGTTGTTTTAAGAGATATTTAGTCATATACTCGTTCTTAGTACTAATAATATAAATAAACCATACACCATTTAATTTATATAAACAAACCAAAAAAAAACCCAAAAAATGACAGCTGACCCTATTGAATTTAATTTTTTTATTATTAAATTACTTTGATGCCCTATTGAGTGTTTTGGGTTTTTTTTATGAGGTTTTGGGGTTGGGTTTGTTTTAAGAAATCAATGATTGTTTTGTAATTTAAAATAAGTTAAAATCCTTTTTGTTATGTTGTAAATGGACTTTGGGTGTGTTTCTAAAGTCCATTTCATATAGGTTTTTTTTATTTATAATTTTGACTCCTATATTGGGTATAATAGTGAATCTCCCTTGTTTTAATTCATGATTATATGTTATCTTATGAAATACAAAAACAATTATAGTCCTAGGAATATATATATATATATATATATATGGACATGAGAACTATGTAATGAGATTGCGTACATCGAGACTTATCATGATTCTTAATTCTAAATATGTTCCCGGTCATAGAAGTATCAATTGCGCAATGATATTCTACTAAGATCAGTACGCAGTATCTTCTCTATATATAGAGATTGACGAGGTCTCAAGTCATTGAGTGTGGCGACACCAAGATATGTATGTAGGTACTTGCAAGAGAACAAGTACACTGAACATGATCAAATACATGAATTCTAGAATGGAAGTTTTTACTCACATGTCAAACTAGAACTCATATATTGCAATAATGCAAACTAATCCTTAGACTTGAGACATCATAGATGTTTTGTGGCTATATTGTTTGTCTTTGAGATTACTATACTGTTGTGTTTAAGAAGACATGACTTAAAGGTGTTTATCAGGACTCTCAATAAAGTCATTGAGGCAAATGAATGTACGACAAGGGATCTTTACTCTCAGTTTAGAGAGTGAATACTCCAAAGATATGATTGATGAGTGAATACTCCAAAGATATTATTAATCAAATCTTTGCTCAAAATAGAAGATAAGATTTGATATAAAGGAAAAAATCACATTAAGGTATTTGACATTAGATTCCTTTATCTAATAATGTGAATAAGGAGTATTGTATAAGAGAATGATTCAATTGCACAATCATTCCAATTTGAATAGGTTCTTCCATGCACCCTACGAAAGGATCAAACTCAATTAACCTTCATCAGTATGAGGAATTAAATGATGAGATTTAATTCACAAGTCAACTCAGAGAAGTTGAGCCTATCCACTACCTTATTAAAAGAAACTTACAGATCACACACCAAGAAATGAGTTAGAGAAATAAATGAAGAGAAAAGAAACTAGGAGTCAAAAGTCAAAGGTCAAAGTCAACGGTCTAGTCAAAATCAACATCGTTAATTGAAGAAATTGACCAAGTCGAATTAGTAAGACTATAATAATGATTTAAGAGTTAAATCATAATTCATAATTAAGGATGAATTATGAAATTAACTTTGACATAAGTAAATGGATTGGGCTTTAAATGTGATTTTTTTTAAAAAAATTGCAAAATATCCAAAAGTCAAATTGGCCAAAGGATAAATGTTGTATGACAACACAAATCCAAGGACCCAACTATTAGAAATATGCCCTTAAAGCTAACTAATTATATAATAGTTAGAGTTAAGGACATCTTTGATAAAAGACATATTATGTTATCAATGGCCAAGAAAGGTTGTTTTATTTTATACATTAAATCATCATATATTATCTTTCAATGTGTAGAACAATCATAGTCCAAGGAATACACAAATGGATATGAGAGTTATGTAATGAGATTGCATACATGGAGACTTCTCATCATCCCTAAATCCTGAATATGTTCCTGGTCATATGAATATTGATTGGGCGTCAATATTTTGCAAAAACCAATACACACAGTATTGTCTCTATATGTAGGGAATGTCAAGGTCTCAAGTCATTAAATATGGAGACACATCAATATGTGTGTAGGCGCTTGTAGAAGAACAAGTACACTGAATGCGATCCAACACATGAGTTACAACATGAAAGCCTTTACTCACATGTCAAGTTGGAACTCATAAATTGCAATGGTGCAAACTAACCCTTTAGACCTGAGGCATCATAGATATTTTGTAGCTATGTTGTTAATCTTTGAGGGCACTATACGGTCATGCTAAATTAGGCATAGCTTAAAGGTGCTCATCAAAATTTTCAATAGAGTCATGGAAGCAAATGAATGTACTACAAGGAATCTCTACTCTCAATAAAGGAGATAGAATACTTCAAGATATGATTGGTCAAATATCTACGTAGAGTAATGGATAAGACTTGAAAGAAGAAGTCTTCAAATCTTACCAAGATAATCATATAAAAGGAATGATTCACATTAGGATATTGACAATCGGATTCCATGACCTAATAATGTGAGTAATGAGTATTGACATAAGAGAATGATTCAATTGCACAGTCATTCCAATTTCAATAGGTTCTTTCACAATGTCTCATTTAGCTCGGATAACCGTGACTTGCTGCTAGGTGACAACCATGGTTTATGGATGTCCTAAAAGGTTTCAATTAGCCTTTATTAATATGAAGAATTTAATTGGGGAATTTAATTCGTATATCTCTGAGGAGTTGAGTCAACCCACTACCTTGTTAAAGGGAACCTACCGATCTACACACCCAAAGAATGTGATTAGAGGTACAAATGAGGAGAAATGAAATGAGGAGACACAAGTCAATGGTTGATAATCAAATGTCGAAGTCAACGGTCAAAAGTCAACATGTTGACCGGAGCAATTGACCAAAGTCAAATAGTTTCACCAGATCAATTAAGTAAGACTATAATTATAATTTAATTGTTAAATTATAATTAAAATATTAATTATGAAATTAAAAGGAAATAGACAAAATAGCTCAAAAGGCTATTGAGCTCAAGGGATAAGTGACATAAGATGACATGACCCATAGACATTGGAGAAGCCCAGACCTTTTTGAAAAAATTACAAAATTAGCCAAGATTTGAAATAAATAAAATACCATTATTGGCAATTAAAAAATTGATACAGACAGTTTGATAAAAGCCTAGCTTCTGAGAAAATCTCACCACTTGGTCTCTATCCCAAAAAAGCAAAAACAACTGATCTTTTTCTTAAGAAAGCCCCCGCGTGACTTCCTGACTATTGAAAAGTCAAAATTTTCAACTATCACAGAGGAGTTGATAGGGAGTTAATGAAGGCAGGTCTTATAGGAGGACTTCTCCATTTTTGCAGTCGAAGGAAGAAGATTAGAATCCCTTTATATATATATGTATATATATATATATATATATATAGAGAGAGAGAGAGAGAGAGAGAGAGAGAGAGAGAGAGAGAGAAATTCTGCACCAAAACAGCTTACATTTCCAAGAGATAAGTAGGGAGCAAGGGAGTTGTTCAACAGGAAAAGCAAACTGACCATCATGGCAGATTGTGTTCTTTCTCTTTACAAGGAACAAACATAGAACAAAGATAGTTGATCTTTGTTTCAAAAAAGCAAGGAAAAGACCTCCATGAAAGCTGATTGTTGATGGCTCTTCTCTGCCAAAATAAATAGCTTCCTTCTTTTATGACATTGAAAAGAGAAAAGATCTTTTAAAGATTTGCTGCCCATTTTTAAAAATTAAAAACCCTCATTCCAGCTTTTCCTATAAATATAAGAGGAGGTGAACAGATCAAGGGACATCCAAAAAATCAATTAAGACAAAAACTCCCAAAGTCATAACTGACAAACTCAAAATGATCAATTGATCTCAAAAGCCTTCAAACATTGAAGTGACCAAAGCTCATTGAGCCACAAGAAACAAATCAGCTAGAATTCAAATCTCTGTTTTCGGTTCAGTTCGAGCCACGAGACTTTATGATATAATTTTGCTTTAAAATATAATTTCACTTGTTGTTACATTTTATTCTCACAAATTGGATTTATGAATTTTCTATATTAATTTGGTGAACTTATTATGTGAATTTATCTTCTATAGTAAGTTGGAAAGCCAAAAGATGAAGACCATTTCTTGCTACATCTAATGTTCATATAAATTGCAGGAATGGACTTATGCAACTATCATTTGGGAACATGACATTGGAGCTCAACATATTCAACATATGCAAGCAACTCGGAAACAATGAAGTTTACATGATTGAGAAAATTGTTCAAAACTGCTTTAATTCTTGTTTTTCTTCTGATCAATTGCAAATTTGTTTAGTAAATGGGGATTGTAATTTTGCACAAGATTTTGAAGTACAATATCTTTGTTTTTTGTTAGATTTGCGCAAGTACAAGAACATAATGGTTGGGTACCAAAATATGAGGAGCAGCCAACTATGAGTGATGAGACAAAATCATCAAGGGAAGGAGCCCCAAAGTGTGAATTGAAGCCTCTTCCTACTGGACTTAAATATGCTTTTCTAGGAGAAGATGAGACCTATCTCATGATAATATCTTCTAAACTAGAGCTTTTGCATGAAGGTATGTTACTTAAAGTTTTGAAAGATCATAGGACTACTATTGGATGAACTTTATCTGATATTAAAGGTATTAGTCCTTTGGTTTGCACACACCAAATTTTTCTTGAAGAAGATGCTAAACCAATTAGGTAGGCTCAACATAGACTTAACCCAACAATGAAAGAAATTGTACAAAAAGAAGTACTTAAACCTTGGGATGCAGGTATCATATATCCAATTTCTGATAGCAAATGGGTGAGTCTTACACAGGTTGTTCCTAAAAAATCAAGAGTCACAGTAGTTGAAAATGATAATGGAGAAATGGTACCAACTGGGGTCACTACTAGATGGAGAATGTGTATTGATTATCGTAAATTGAACTCAGTCACAAGAAAGGATCAGTTTCCTTTACCATTTCTTGACCAAATTTTGGAAAGAGTTGCAGGGTATATGTATTATTGTTTTTTAGATGGTTATTCCGGATATTATCAAATTGAGATTTCATTAGAAGATCAAGAAAAAACAACTTTTACTTGCTCATTTGGAACTTTCACTTTTAGAAAAATATCTGTTGGTCTTTGCAATGCACCAACTACATTCCAACGTTGCATGATAAGCATATTTAGTGACATGGTAGACAAATATTTAGAAGTTTTCATGGATGATATTACTGTGTTTGGTGATTCATTTTCTGATTGTTTATCTAACTTGGAGAATGTTCTTATCAGGTGTAAAGAGAAAAATTTGGTGCTTAACTGGGAGAAATGCCAATTCATGGTCACATTTGGCATAGTACTTGGACACATTGTTTCTCACAAAGGAATTGAAGTGGATAAGTCAAAATTTGATTTAATTGCTAATTTGCCTATTCCTAAAACTGTTAAAGATATTAGATCTTTTTTAGGACATGCAAGTTTTTACCGGAGATTCATACAAAATTTTAGTGCAATTGCAAGGCCATTGAATAATCTCTTGGAGAAAGATGCAAAATTTGATTGGAATTATGCATGTCAAGAAGCATTTGAGAAATTGATTAAAATGCTAACATCAACACCTGTAATGCAACCCCCAGATTGGTCCATGTCATTTGAAATAATATGTGATGCTAGTGATGGTGCTATTGGGGCAGTGCTAGGCCAAAGAAAAGACAAGAAGCCTATTGTTATCTGCTACACAAGCATAACTTTGAATAATGCATAGAAAAATCACACTACAATTGAAAAAGAATTGCTTGCTGTAGTTTTTGCACTGGAAAAATTTAGGTCATATATTTCGTGCTCACAAATTGTTGTTTTTACAGATCATTCGCCCTTGAAGTATTTATTGACAAAGAAGGAAGCCAAATCATGATTGATTAGATGGATTTTGCTTCTCCAAGAATTCGATCTTACAATCAAGGACAAGAAAGGAGTGGAGAATGTTGTTGTAGACCATCTTTCTATGATATCTTTTGAGGAGCCTTCTGAATATTTGCCTATAAAAGATTCATTTCTTGATGAATAATTGTATGATGTTTCTAAATTACCATGGTTTGCTAATATTGTGAATTTTCTTCCTACAGGTCTTATCCCACCTCATTGGACCTCACAAGAAAAAAAGAAATTTATGGTTGAGGTGAGAAAATTCTTTTAGGATGACCCGTATCTCTTCAAATATTGTCCCAACCAGTTAATCCGTAGATGTGTTCCTGATGATGAAATATTTAGTGTCATATTTTTTTGTCATTCTGAGGCTTGTGGAGGTCACTTTTTCTTCCAAAAAGACTTCGGCCAAAATTCTTCAATGTGGTTTTTATTGGCCTAGACTTTTCAAAGATGTGTATGAATTTTGCAAGACTTGTCCAAGTTGTCAAAAGTTGGGAAAAATTACTCAAACGTAATATGATGCCTCTTAACCCAACTTTACTTATTGGAATTTTTTACTATTGGGGCATTGATTTTATGGGTCCTTTTCCTCCATCTTTTGGTTGCTTATACATCCTTGTTGTTGTGGATTATGTTTCAAAATAGATTGAGGCCATACCACGTCGGAAGAATGATCATAAAACTTTTTTGAAATTTTTGAAAGAAAATGTATTGTCTAGGTTTGGTACTCCTAGAGCGATCATCAGTGATGGAGGATCACATTTTTGCAACCGACCATTTGAAGCTTTGATGAAAATATATGGGAAAACCCATAAGATTTCCACTCCATACCATCCACAGACAAATGGCCAAGCAGAACTTGCAAACAAAGAAATCAAGCAAATTTTGTAAAAGACGGTGAATCCAACCCGGAAGGATTGGTCATTGAGACTAATTGATGCTTTGTGGGCATACCGTACTGCATACAAATCACCTCTTGGTTTGTCCCCATATAGGCTAGTTTATGGTAAACCTTGTCATTTACCTGTTGAATTAGACATAAAGCATATTAGGCTATCAAATTGTTTAACTTTAGTCTTGGAGATGCAAGTACCTTGATAAAACTCCAATTGAATGAACTTGAGGAAGTCAGGAATGATGCATATGAGAACTCACGAATTTACAAAGAACGTACTAAAGTTTTTCAAGATAAAAATATTTTGAGGAAAAATTTTGAGCCTTCTCAACTTGTTCTTTTGTATAATTCTAGACTTCTTTTGTTTTCTGTAAAATTAAGAACTAAATGGACAGGGCCTTTCATTGTTAAAAGAGTTTTCCCATATGGGACTGTTGAAGTTGAGGATCCCACGAATGGAAATATTTTTAAGGTTAATGGCCAACGACTTAAACCTTACTTGGGGAGATGTGTTCCAGAAGATGAGACAGTTTCTTTGAACAATCCTGTTTACCAGGATTGATTGGACTTCCCTTAGTCAATCTGTTATATATAATTAGTTTAGAAATTTTCGTTCACTTGAAAAAAAATTTAAAAAAAATTGACATTTCTGATTGGACTTCCTTTAAACCTCACCGTTACTTAGGAGATATTCCTCACCCAAATTCACAATTACTTGTTTAAAAGTCAGTAACTTAGGGCGCAAGTTATCTATTTTTTAGAAGTCTGCTAGGGTATTAAACTGCTAGTAGTGGCACGCTCACGCACAAAAGAAAGTTGACTTGTTGACTGCCAATGGTTTTCAAGCCAATGGGGAACTTTACCCTACCATCATAGGATTAAAATCAAAATGGGTGACCAATTTGGCACGCCCAATGGGACTTCTCAGTATACGTGCTAATAGGAGACATCTCTTGGTATATGAATATTGGAAGCACTAGCCAGAATCCACGCATGGAAAGAAATCAAGTAGCTCTCTAGAAAAGACATGAATTAGAGGAGAGTGACGCTAGGCATTCAGCCATGGCAGGACTAGAAGTAGACATTCCAAATCTGGTTCTAGAAGGATGAGCCAGATATAGGATGTTGTACTCCGACAAGAGGGTGCAACACAAAGGAGCCAGGATATTCTAAATAACATGACAGTCATGATGCAATGGCAAGTCAACAGGCAGTTCAGGAAGGACCGTGAGGCTGCTATTGCCAGAATTTCAAACCCATATGTTGTGGTCCAATAGCTAGACCTCCCTTTTGGACTTCCACCAGGATTGGCATAGCCATACTAAGAGAATCCTCTCATCGTGCAGATAGCTGGAGTACCAGGACAAGGAGAAATCCATGCTAGACAAAGAGAAGGAGCCTTCCCCGATCAAGAACACGAAGCCTCAGTTCCTCTAGAGGGCCTTGCACCAATTCAGGTACCCTATAACTCGCTAGAACTTCCACCTATTCCAAGACCTGTGGTCCCACGAGATCAGCTAGTAGCACTTCTGCTTGAGCAACCAACTGTGTTGCCCTAGAAACCTAGAAGGATGAACCCCAATCCACTTCCTCCACTAACAAGAGGCAGGAGAGGCAAAGGGGGTATCAACCATTTTGCCAACAATGGGAGCACTACAGAACGGCATGGGGGTACTACAGAGAATGATCAGAGAAATGATGGAGCCTAAAACTAGAAGAGGAGAAAAACCCACCTACAAGAAGCCATATCCAACTTATATTGATCACATGCCTCTATCCCCAGGGTTTAAGGTACCAAACTTCACTTTGTTCAATGGAGAAGACACCCATGCGTCATCAGTTGAACACATAGGCAGATTCTATGTTCAATGCATAGCCATAGAGAATAATTGTCTGCTAAAGCTCAGGCTTTTTGGAAATTCTCTCTCTGGACAAGCCTTCACCTAGTACACTAACCTACCAGCTAATTCCATCCAAACATGGGAATATATGGAAAACTCTTTCCATGACTACTATTTCAAGATTCAGCCAGAAGTCCATAAGTGATCTTGCAACTCTCAAGCAGAGTAAAGATGAGCCTGCTCAAGACTTCATAACTAGGTTCAGAATGAAATGCTGGATTCCTATGGAAGAAAGACACTTTATTCAAATAGCTCAAACTGCCCTCAAGATTTCTCTAAGAAAGAGATTTGATGAGATTCTATTCGGAGACTTGGCAAAACTGGCAGACAAGGCATCTAAATATGAGGAACTGCTTAGGGAAGAACAACAAAAGAGAAACTCCTCAAAAGGCACATATTACAAGACACCATCTTCCTCAGTACATTTGGTTGAAGTCGAGACAGAAGAAGGCATAGAAAGTTTTCGAAAGAAAGGGAAGTTGCAATGGCAGAAATGGCAAAATTAAAACATCCTATCAGTTGCAAGGCTTTGACAAAGCCACCAAAGGATCATAAGCCACCACCATTCACAGTAGGATTTGTTCCAAACAAACCAACACAAAACAAGGTATATTCTTTCGATTTAACCAAGGTTGACGCTTTGTTTGACGAGATGCTTCTCCAAAAGGCAATAGAGACACCTTACAGGTTGCCCAAACTAGAGGAACTTAAAGGCAGACAGTATTGCAGATGACACAACTCTTGGAACAACTCCACCAATAGTTGGGTTATTTTAAGAGACGTCATACAAGAAGGCTGAAACTAGCTGAGTAGCCTCCCACAGTAACCACATATCCCTTTCCCCAATCTCAAGTTAACATGGTTAACTTAAATTGGCCAAAACAGGAGAAAGACAAGCAGGTAGCAGAAGTCGGCCCCAAGATAAACAGAAAAGTACCAAAGGAGGCAAATCAGAAATCAAAGGCAATTATCTTAGCTGGGGTAGTTCTGTGCAGCAGGTGCAAATGCGAAAGTGAGTTGGAGATAACTTTGGATGAATAAAGACAGCCTACAACTAGCGTTTTTGACAGAATTGGAACGTCATATTGCTAGAGCTCTAGATATCATAAAGGTGATTGAGTAGCCAAAAAAGGAAATACAAATTAAAATGCCCAGAAATGATAAGCTATTGACAACTATCATAGAAGGCAGATGATATTCTGTTGGAAAAAGTGGCAGGCCAACTTTGGAGCTAACCAGAACACAGAAGAGGAGAATCCAAAGGCAATACTGCACATTCCTCAAGAACAAGGATGACACGCAGGTACTTCAAGAGGTCAGTTCTGCCAGAAATGAGAAAAAGTCAAAAGCAGGTTTCAAGCCAAACAAGCAACATACAAATCACAGGAGCTGTCAGAAACAAAGTTTCAAATAAGTCACTTATCCACCAAGTTCCATCCTCGAAAGAACAGTGGGAACCTTCACAATCACAAGATCAATCTGGATATGTTTTGGCAGAAGATTGGACTGAAGAATACGAAGAGGAATAGTTGGATTATGAACCATCTGCAAACGATTAGACTGGACTCATGGAGACAGCTGAGCAGGAAGATTGGATAGAGGAATATGGAGAAGAACAGATGAAGTACAATGAAGAACTAGATAAAGAAAATGAGGCTTTTAGTGCAAAATTAGAAATTCTGTTACAAGGTGATCTAGGCATTAATATGGTGTTTATCCTGCCAGAAAAGTTCAAGGCAGTAGAAAGATAAGAGCACCCTTTGGAAAGATATGTACTCTCCCAAGAAACTTTCGAGTGCAGGCTGTCAGAAATTGAAGAAGCGCCATGACAACAAATACCAATTATCCTGCCTACGTACCCTTACTGAGGGATCAAGCCACACGTAGTTCTTTTTTTTGTTCTTGATCTGTAACTGAACTATTTACTGTAAATCTTGTTCTAGGGTTGGCATTCCTGGAGTATCCGGGACTCCGTTTTACAATCCGTCAAATACTATACGATCCTGGGAACGTTTAGATTAACCTATCTGAAAATGGTTACGATCCAACGGTGCAAAACTATTGAACCCGGAAATCACACAAGATGCGAGATCTGTTAGGGATTCAAACGTTAACCAAATTGAGATCCGCAAAATCCTATGTGCTCGTGACGACACAAGGATCATTCTAAAACTGAATGTGATCTCTACCAATCTGCCCACGCGCCACCACACGCGCCTGCAGCGCGTGGGTGGCTTGATCAATTCCTGGCGGTCTGAAAAACTCCAAACCACCAGCTCAAACTCCTAACTTAGGTAAAATACCCCATTTGAACAACTTTTGTTCTTGGACATACCCCAAAAATTAGTCGGAAGTGGCCAAAACAGTGACCCAAAAATCTGCTGAAACCTAACTTAAATAATCGAATGATCTACGCTTGAAATCTCTGAAATCCTACCTAACCAGTAGCTAGAGCATGAAAAATAACTAGAAAACCATACCTCACTCGTCCAATTTGGTGGCCGGACGACGAAGAACGAAAGGTTGGAAGTTCTGTCAAAAACTGTCTAGCACCGCCTGTTTCGTGGTGGATTCCGGCGACTATAGCAGCGGATTGAGGCGGTGAAGGGCTGGGGCTGGAAGAGGGAAGTTTGGTGGTTCGTTTGGCACTGGTCTTGCTTGAATCGGGAGTCGGAGCTGAGAGAAAACAGCTCCCAAAGTCGGCTGGTCGTGCCCTCGAATCTAGAAATTTCTGGGTTTATATAAACTGAAGTTTGAAATATTTACGGTTATGCCACTGAACTTCTTTTAATCGTAACTCCTTCGTTACAACTCCGATTTGAGTCCACTACGTGTCTACGGACTCGTTTCGTCGCGCTCTACGCAACGGTATAACTGAAATCTCCAAATTCCTTCCCGTAAAAAGTCAACTTTTGTACCATTAAATATTCTAGGGGTATAGTGGTCTTTTACTGGAATAAAATAATAATTAAATATTAATTTAAGGACCGGGTTGTTATAGGAGGGCCTTTGGCCAACACCCCCCAGATATGGTCTATTTACTCCGGCTTTTTTTATAAGAATTGAGGAGGAGAGAGAAGGAAGAACAAAAGGCAAAGGATCTAGAAGCGAATATTCTCCCGCAAGATTATTTTCAAAAACATAAAGCTGGCAAAAAAAAAAGGCCAAGCCACAAGCCTACAGGCCAAGCCACATGAACTAGCCCAAGTAGCCAGCTCGGCAAACTCATGTAGCACGCTAAGCCCAGCTCGAATCCAGCACACCCCTGGCCCGTGTAGTGCACAAGGCCCACCTCGCTAGCCTGGCTTGCTCGCTCCAGCTCTAATGTGTGAACAATGCCGCACCACTCTAGCACGCAACTCTAGCAATATGTAAGCCCTCCAAGATGCGGCCCAGGCCCCCAAGGGGGCAATAGGCAGCAAGGTTGCGACTCAACCAACTGGGCCCTCTGGCAGACATCGGTGGCCGCTGCCACTCCAGACATCTCCGGCCACCAGTCACGACGACAACCAGTTGAGTCCCACCCAGCTGGTCCTCATCGCGAAAAAGAAAATAAGAAGAAGAAAAAAAATATATTTATACATGTTCGACTTTCCTTGGGATGCACGACAAGTCCTCTATTTGACAAGTAGTACAAATTCTCCAAGATCTCTCTCAAGCTAAGAAAGTAGAGAAGTTAAGTTTGCGATGTGAAGAAGAGTGAAGAGAAGCTCTACATTTATATAGGTTGGGCATCCTAGGTAGAGAAAGAATCACAAGCCAATTCTTACTTGGAACCCAACTCCAAGAAATGTCAAAAGCCCACTCTAATTGGAAACCCAATCTGCAAAAGAAGTCCAACTCACTGAAAAAAGCCCAGACACAGTTGGAGAGCATGAAAAATAATTTCATCTCCTACATGTCACACAAGCACCATGCAGAAGCTGGGGGCCATTTGTGGGAGCAAATATTTTTATCTCCAATCATAGGATGCCATGTGAAAAGAAGAATATCCCATAGATTAATTAATTGAGCCCATTTATTTGCCCAATTAATTTATACTAAAAATTGAGATAATATCGTAAGGGTGGTGATTTTCCCACTCCCCTTTTATCCATCTACACTCCCTTTTGTTTTTAAAAATACTTTTTACTATAAGATAAAAGAGAGTGTAAGTAAACAAAAGATGAGTGAGAACATACAATTTTAAAAAAATGGAATGGGAAAATCAGTACCCTATCTTAATTATGTGTTATTATCTTTTTTTAATGAGATAATGCCACTAATTTAGATATTATCCTAATAAGGAGATATTATCATCATCAAATTAGGAGATTTGATCCCAATCAAATTCCTAATGGACTCAATCTCTACAATTTGGGGAAAGAATAAACTCCTTCATAATAAGAGTTTTATTATGAAATCTTAGCTTCTGAGGCTCCTATATATAAATAGATGACTTCATTCAACACTCAAGGTAACTCTAAACCTAGCTCTGAAACCCTGTGTAGGGGCTTTTTCGTTCTCGTCAGCTACAAATGGGCTTGGCTGTCGTAAGGAGCAGATTGCTGAAAGTATACCCTGTGCCTGAGTTCAAAGATCAAGCCTTAAGGATGCTTCGAAAGGACAGTAGGGCCTTAGGAAACACCTTGGTTACCTTCACCGACAAAAATAATGGCTGCTTACAGATAATTTCTTAGTGCTTACAGGTAAAATCTTAGCTTGGCACGAAAGGCTTGTGGCATGGGAGCAAAACCATCATAAGTTTAGCATAAACAGAGAGAATGCTGTGAATTCCTATGAGAAACATGGGTTTTAAGAAAAGGGGGAATGGATTCTAAGAGGGTTTGTTGAAGAGGGAGAAAGATGATGGTATAATGGGTGTATCGAGTAGTTTCCGGCAGCTTGACGAAAAATCTGTCAAGCTCTGGAGTGTTTTAACAGAAGAGAAAAAAGGAGGAGATGGATGAATAGAGCTCGAAATTGCAGAGGCTTCAGGGATGAGAGATAAAGCTTGCTCCCCAGATGTGTGTTGCTTAGGATAAAGAAGAAGGAGATAGAAGGTGAGGCACTTAGGCTTGATGTTAGCAGTTAGAGAATAAGCTTGCTCGACTGCTCCGGTTGAGTTTAATGGGTAGAAGGTACCTCCTTTTATAGCCGTTGGAAGCTCCTCCTTCCCAAGAAACCCTAATGGGTTCTCTCTAATTTTGCCAAGTCTCCCCTTTCATTTCTCTTTTCTCCCTTCAATCTATCCCATTTTGTGAAATTCTCCTTTGCCCAATCGCACCAAAAACAGGGTTTTGGGAGCTCTAGGAGTATCAGTGGTGATTTCTTATTTTTGGCTGTAATTTCTACTCTTTTCCTCCTCTATTTTATGGCAAGGTCTGGTAAAGGAAGGAGATAGATAACTTTGGCTGGTCTGAAGGCTGCCTTTTCTCCTACGCACGTCAATATCCTCTGGTTTCTTGAAGGATCTGCCTTGAGGTTTGTTTTTGCCCATGTGCTGGAGCTTCCCAGCAGCTTACAGATATAGACATTTTGGCTTTTCATCGTGGTTCATGTTTCTAGCTAAGCGCTAGAGACTATAGATATTTTTCTTGGCTTACTTGGGCCTTGCTAAAGTGATGAGTTAGCCCATTAAGGACATGGGCTAATTTCCTTAAGTGATGGGCTAATTTTCTAGGGTATTTGGGCTAATTTTTTAGGGTATTTGGGTTTTTTCCTCTCTTTTATGCGTACCCACATATTTGGGCTCAAGAAATGGGCATGAGTTTTGGGGCTCCCAAGCAGCCCAAAACTTCCATTTCTCGGCTCATTAATAGGCCTCATGAAAGTTCGTTACCATCCATACCTGGGCATTTGTATAGATTGGACCCGCTTAAGCTTGTAGCGTGACTAGGTGTGAAATAATGATTTCCTGCTTGGCATGGCATGTCGATTGACGTGCTTGAATTTTATCGTCTTTGAAAAGAGACATGATGCTTGACGAAATAATTAGCATGGGCTTGTAGAGCAAGTGCTTTTTATAGGCTCATTTTAATTCTTAGCGTGATGGATTGCATATTTTATTTGGCATGGCACGTGGTCGTGGCTTGTGCAAGCGTGCATGACGAATTTCGCGTGCTCCGAACCGAGTTTTTTCTTAATAAGGTGTCGCATTGGGCCAAGAATTTATTTGGGCCCAACTATGAATTTTTTGGGCTTCAACACCCTGCAAAAATACTGAAGATATATCTCCCCTCTCTCTCATAGCCACCACACAGGCCACCCGGTTCTTACCCAAGAGAAATCTTCATACCATTTTTAGCTATTGTTTCACCTAGACTCAATCGAACTAACTTAGGCATTAGAGGGTCTTTGGCCAACACTCACTAAGTGTGGTCTATTTACTCCAGTCTTTGTTACAAGAATTGAGGAAGATCAAAAAGTGAACAATCTAGAAATGAATATTATTCTGAGAGATTATTTGCACTAACAAATGGCAAGGATTATATTGGCGATTTTAACTAGTGCGAGATTAAATTGGCAATTTTAATTAGTGCGAGATTAAATTTGCTAAGTTATCAGTTCAGAGGTTTAATTTCTACAAGGTTATAATTCAGAGAGTAAAACATATGAAAATCCAAAAAACTATGGTGTGTTTTCGCTCACAGAGTGTCAAATTACCATATGATGATTTGAATGCGAGACCAATGGTGGGCTCAAGGCCCTATTTTGACACTAGACGAAAGTATAACTTAAGCGGTTGAGGAATTGTCACAGCAGGTGGGTAAGGAGTATAGTTTGGGAATTTTCCCCCAACCAAAAAACTAAAAAGAAAAACCCGGAAAAAAACTATTTCACTCTCTAATCGCAGAAGACGCCCAAGAAGTAATAACACAGGACACAAGGAAGCTCCATCATCGCCAATCCACTCTTCATCTTTTTCTCATTCTCCGTTTAATTCTTCAGCTCCACCATTGGCACCCGTTGAAGCACCTATCGTCACCTCTGGTCACGCTGATGAGTAAGTATGGAGCTGATTTGCTCTCTCGCGTCTTACCTTTTTGTATAGTTCCTCAATTTGTTACCGGTCGAGGACAGGCTTAAACTTGTTATGGTATTTCTGTTTTAGGGTTAAGATTAATGGGTTATTTACCGATCAATTTCACTGGCTCCTAAATTCATGTTAGGGTTTTTCTTGTGTATTTCTGTCTTGCAATTTTCGGATTCAGGGTTTCCGTAAATTAATGTTAGAATTTGCAAGACAAATTTTTTTTTCTCATTTCATGTTTATGTTTTATGTTTTATGTTTTATGTTTTGTTATTTGTTTTTGCCCCGAACGTAAGCCATCAATGGTGAAGATTCAACCGAATTTTTTTATTTTTTATTTTACAATCAAAGAGTTTAAGAGCTATGTCAGTGATATGAAAGTAGGTAGAGTCTTCTTACTAAGTGCATAATACATCTATAATCTTGTTACATAGCAGGCATTTGTGGGCTCTTAAAACATGTAAGTTCTTATTTATGTGATTTTTGTATAATGCTCATGTTTTGGTTTCATGCTTGGATTCAAAACTGCCTTAATACAAAAAAATTGGTAGTAGATCTACCTGCTATAACTTTGGTATGCCCACTATAGATATTTGGTTTCTCTGCAGTACGAGCCTCATACAGAGCCACGCCCCTTTAATATCGTGAGGAGAAGAGCAGCTGCCCAAAGCTTGTAATTTCTGTAGCTCCCAAAAAGTTCATCTGGCCCCAAGGTAGTACCTCTCCTGTAAAAATTGTCAGAATCATTAATGGGAAGACTACAACTACGAGACACCGAACACACTTTTAGACACTCACGCTTGATGCTAGAAATTGACTTAGTAAATAAGGATTGATAACTTAACTACATAGTTATATCTATCAAAATTGCCTGAATGAATACGGTGGTGTACAGTAATGCAATTTTGTGCTAGTTATTGGAGAAAAAGATAGCGTTTATACTTTTAGGTTTTCACTCTTTCTGTTTCAATGATTAGTGAACTTATTTTGGGATTTTTTGACGTAATGTAACGAAAACTATTTAAGTTTAGTGTTCAGCATGAGATTGATAAATAAATTTAGTATCTGTTGTTTTATTCCATGATGATGTACTTCATCTCACATTTGGGCATTGAACATTTGTGGCCTCAGACATTATAGGCCACTGTTGCGAACAGGGTCCACTCGATGATTTTCTTGTAGTGATTGTGGGGTGGTTCGATGAAATTAACATTGTCGATATAGAGTAATGGGTAGCAGCGAGATGGATAAACCTGCTAAAGAGAAAGAGAAGGAGTCGAAGACAACACCTGCTAGTACGCAGGTCCATTTGTGTGTCTTTTTGTAGTATCTGTTATGATAAAATTGAGGTCCTCCCATACTGGAAGTTAGTAATGAGCTTTAATCTTACTTTTTTTGGGAACTTTCAGGAGCAGTCTGCGACCACTAGTGCTGGCACTGTTAATCCTGACTGGTCGGGATTTCAGGTCTTATATTGAAAAGCCTCAGTTTTTAGCAATTTTGTTGTTTTAGATATGTTTGAAATTTATTGTGGGGTAATTATTTTCTTAACAGGCATATTCTCCTATACCTCCACATGGTTTTTTGGCATCAAGTCCTCAAGCTCACCCATATATGTGGGGTGTTCAGGTATATGCTTGTGTATTAGAATTATTTGTTTAATCTTAATAAATCATCGAAAGAAAATAAAAATTCTTGCTTATTCAATTTTTTGATTGTATTTTGTTAAACTTTGACTTTAATGCTATTTTTGACATGGTGGCTTTTGGCCATCTAAGAGTTGGGAGTTGATGTAGGATATGGGTGAATTAAGTATTTAGGTAGTTTAGCGGAAGCGAAAACAATGGAAAACAGAAAATAGAACGAACAAGGATAGGTATGGAATCCCTCCAGGAGTTAGGCTTCACACTACGGAGTCTCCAATCTCTGGAGATTAAACTTTTCTTAATATCTCAACAACTCAACTCCCTAATGAATTACATGAGAGGGGTATTTATAGCAAACTAAAACCTAGAGACAATAGGATAAAAGATCCCTTGCCAAAACATAAATTCTAACCTAAATAAAATAGGAAACTTAGAAATTCAACTTAAATCTGGAAAACTTAACAATCTTACTAAAATCTGGAAAACTTAGAGAACAAGTTAGAAACTAATCGTGGGAATACAAAATTACCAGATTTAAAGATCAAATTAAATGATTTCCTCTTCCATCTCTTTCTTTTGTAAACCCTAATGGGTTTGACAAAGATATCCTCATCAGGAGTGGTAGGCAGTACAATGGGAACTTAAAGATATATGTTTGTACTCTTAGAAATCATTTGAAATGTGTTAACAAACTGAGAAAAAGTGTTCGTTCATGAGAAAGATCTTGGCTTTAAGCTCCTGTGTAAGTTTCTGAGGCGCTGAGCATGTTCACAAGAAAGAGATCTAGATGTAGTACCATTTTGGCTTTGTAACAGTTTGACTTTTTAACTGTGGACTCTTGTACAATTGGACTTAAATTGAATATTCTTTTTCTGGTTGATGGAGACTTATACACTTGTCTTTTTGTCTCCTGTTTCCTGTCAGCCTATATTTTGATTTTGTCTCTGAGGTTACCTAAGGAAGTGGGTATTTTTTCAAAAAGATTATACTGTTGATATGTACCATAATTTTCTTGAAATCCACAAATCCACAAACTGGATAATAACTGGTTCATTTCTAATAAGCTTTTAAATTTCAGCATATTATGCCTCCATATGGTACCCCTCCACATCCGTATGTTGCCATGTATCCCCATAGTGGTTTATATGCTCATCCATCCATGCCTCCGGTAATTTCTTGTCTATCTTGCTTCAGCTGAATTACCAAGCTGCTTTCTAGCCTCATTCTCTGGATGGCACTAATAATTTATGCCATGTGCTATATTTAAACAGGGATCTTATCCTTTTAGCCCTTTTGCTATGCCTTCTCCAAATGGTATTGTAGAAGCTTCTGTAAGTGTCTATAATCAAATTCTTTGTTGCTTGAAATAATTTCTTTATTCATTTGAGTACATGAGACATAATTTGTAAAATTGCATTTAGGGTAACACACCTGGAAGCATGGAAGCAGATGGTAAGCCCTCTGAGGTGAAGGAAAAATTACCCATAAAAAGATCAAAAGGAAGCTTGGGCAGTTTAAATATGATTACAGGGAAGAATAACGAGCCTGGGAAGACATCAGGAGCCTCTGCTAATGGAGTTCACTCTAAAAGGTATACTGATCATGTTTAATACCTACTGGCCTTTGCATCATGGATTCCAGCGTCCTCTTACTGAAATCTTTGAATTTAAAGACACTCTAGATTGGAAGAAAAGAAAAACGGGGGGAGGGGTTGGGGAGGATGTGGGATACTGTAGGTAGAGCTTTGTCACAGAAACACAGCAAGCCATTTATTTGAGAAGCTGCGTGTGTAATTCTCTCTGTCCCGATTTAACTGTTTGTTGATCTCTTAGCTAATAAAAACATCTATGTAAGTGATCGCAAAGCTCAGCAACTTGGTAATCATGAATTGTGGGATAGATAATTTCTTGTTGCATAGATGTTTATGTAGCTAGCTCACAATTCTAGTTCTGATTGGATCCTTATTATGAACTCATATCTAGGCCCAACAGTTTCGGATCCTTATGGAGTCTATTCTTACAGGGACCTCTCATTATTAAATCATGTTGTTACATATTAATTTTGGTAATGGTTGAAATGTATTTCGATATGCAGTGCTGAGAGTGCCAGTGAGGGTACAAGTGAAGGAAGTGATGCAAATTCTCAGAGTGTAAGTTCCGTACTATTGAAGTTTCTTATTTGTAGATCCGTTTGTATTACTTTGGTTTCTTTGATTCGGGCCAGATAAAGTGGCCCCTAGGCTGTTATATCAAGCCTACTGTAGGAAGCAAGTTACGTGTTGATGTTGCGTTGACTGTAATAGAAGTTTGGTGTAATAGAGGAACTCTCCATAATTCTTAATATTAAAGAAAAAACTAAATGAAAAGGAAAAGGAAGAGTGAACTTATTTAAATAAATTTGTCATAATGAACTTAGATCTTTGTTCCCTGAGTGCTTGTGGTGCATTCACACTGTTACAAATATGATAATTCTTCTGGGTCGTTAAGTTTGATAAAAAAACTAGTAAAAGTGCAGAATTCCTTTTTCTGAGTGAAATTTCCTCTTAGCATTAGACATCTTTTCTTCATTGGGTGCAATTAGGACGTAGGTTGCTTGACAGCAAGGCAAGATTGCTAATTTTAAATTTTGTTTGGTGTCCTGAGGCTTATTGGAATAGTAACTTATATGTAAACTTATTAAGGGGGGTCCCTTTTGGTAAAAATTGAAAGGGATCGCATGTGGGCCCAACCCTCTTTGGGATATGAAGATCCCAACCGTCCATTTATTATGCCTCCATGCAAGCATTATCCTTACAAAAAATCAACCAAATCGGAAATGATTTAGCCATCTTTTGCTGACCAAATAAATAAACACACACAATGGTCCATATAAAATTGAAATGTTCATAATGGGAATCAAATGATCAAACGATTTCAGATTTTGCTGACCTTTTGCATTGTTCAATAGATATCTAATACTTTTAGATAGTTCAGGTCATTGAACATATTGCGACATGGCTTGACAGCGTGATCCCTTTGGCATATCCTCATAAGGGATCCCTCTTATAAAGGGGAACGCACGTGTGGGTGTATACACAAATATGTTTTTATTTCTATCTCATGGCCTCATGATGCAGACATCTATGACAAACCTTTTAAGGTTTACCAAAGAAGGAAGAAACGATCGGCCAATCCAACATTATCATTAAGGTTGGGGTGAAATCTTAGTTCCCAGATTTCAATAGGAAAACTAGTTTTCCAGATTCCAGATTTCACTAAGATTTCTAGAGTTTCCAGATTTCACTAAGTTTTAGTTTCCAGTTTTTAGTAGGATTTGATTTAAGTTTCCTAGTTTATTTGGATTGGTTCCTTTGTGGATTAGGATTTCTTTTTAGTAAGGATTTTTATCCTATTATCTCTAGGTAGTTCTTTAAAATGGAGATTTGAGATATTAAGAAAAGTTTACTTTCCAGAGATTAGAGACTCCTTGGTGTGAAGCCAAGGCGTCTTTTTCCACCTATTTTCTGTTTTTCCAATGTTTTCGCTTCCGCTAAATTACCCAAATACTCAATTCACCCATATCCTCCATCACCTCTTATGTTTACAAAGATGCGGATCATACTTGCACGAGTAAAAGAGTGGTGCTTAAAGCTATGAAAGTTTTCTAGGTCATCTAATGGTTGATTGTAAGAATGCATGGTGGGTTGCTAGATGCATGTGGTAATCACTTTTCAACATTAAGAAGCAACAAATTGAAGAATTTCTTTTGAAATTGAAGCATCGGTTGATCTAGAGTTTTAGAGAGTATCTCAAGGCCTGATAAAAACCTTGTGAATGGAAGCCCATTTCGTGTTTCACCATCCAACATAAGAAATAAATCATATTTCCACCTGACAAATGGTTATGTCCATACCTCCAGAGCCAGTTGACTATTGACTGCTCTGAGGGTCTCACATAGGGGTTTGGGACTTGACACTTATGGTTCAATGGCTCAGAGCTGTAGGAGGAGAATCTTGTGTTTTGTAAATAAGTTAGTGATGTAGGATATGGGTGAATTAAGTGTTTAGGTAATTTAGTGGAAGCGAAAACAATGAAAAAAACAGAAAATAGATGATAAGATGTCTTGGCTCTGTACCAAGGGGGACACCAAGAATTGTCCAATCTCTGGAAAGTAAATTTTTCTCAATATCTCAACAGCTCAACTCCGTAATGAATTACATAGAAGGGGTATTTATAGCAAACTAAAACCCAGAGACGATAGGATGAAAATCCATTGCTAAAACAGAAATCCTGACCTAAGTAAAATAGGAAACTTAGAAATCTGGAAAACTTAAAAATCTTACTAAAGTCTGGAGAACTTAGAGAACGAGTTAGAAACTAATCACAGGAAGAAAAAAATTCCAGATTTAAAGACCAAATTAAATGATTTCCTCTTCCATCCCTTTCTCTTGTAAACCCTAATGGGTTTGACAAAGATGTCCTCATCAGTTAGGGCCAGGAAACGATAAGTGGCAAATGGTGGCCTGTTTTCGTGAGGGCAGGTTTTGGAGGGATAACTGGGGGGATCAAGGATGTGAAAACATTTAAGTATGGTTCGAGTTAAGGAAGAAATGGATGAAGGATTTAATGGTGCAAAGAAGCTAGAAGAGCTTATAGGGACTGTTTAGTGGGTGTGAAAAGTACCTGAGTGAACAGTGCATAGTTGCACAGCACGCACACAAACAGGGTTTAAATCTGTATGGCATACTGCTGGTTTTAAAAGGTTGTAAGAGAATTGAAGTTGCGTTTATTCAAAAACTTATGAACTTATGTGTCAGCCTTTGATTTGCACTAGATTAATGCACATCTTCTGTTACCTTTGGAAAATATCTTTTTCGAATGGCTCTTGATTTTCTTTTCCGTTTAATTATATTCCTTTTTTATGTGTTGCTTCAACATTATCATTTCCATTAATTTTGTAGGACTCACAACTCAAGTCAGGGGGCAGGCAAGATTCTTTGGAAGGTTTGATTATATTATTTTTTGTGGCTGTCAATCTGTGTTAAGAGATTTTTACTAAGGATTTTTACGTTTTATTGCAGGTGATGCATCTCAGAATGGCAGCTCTGCACATGGTTCACAGAATGGAGCACCAAATACTCATACTATGTTGAATCAAACAATGGCCATCATGCCAATAACGGCTCCTGGTGCTCCTGGTGCTGTTCCTGGTCCTGCAACCAACTTAAATATTGGGATGGACTATTGGGGTGCTCCACCTTCTTCTGGTGTGCCTGCAATGCGTGGGAAGGTTCCCACTACTCCAGTAACAGGAGGATTAGTTACTGCTGGGTCTCGGGATAGTGTTCAGTCACAGCTTTGGTTACAAGTTAATCTCTGTCCCTGTATTTCAAGTGCAATTTTTTTTTCTTCTTTTCACGTTTTTTCCAGCTCTGAGTTGTGACTATTTTAATTTAAGTTACTTTATAGGTCTGATTAAAAAAGGGGAGAAGAATCTTCACTTTGAGTATCTTGTTGGAGTTGTGAGGGTACAGTTGTGTTAATTGGCTTTAAAATTGGTTTAGAGCACCAAGTGTAGGTTACATTTTAAGTTGCATTACTTGTGAAAATTGATATTTGCACATGGATTCTTATGGGCTAGGCTATGAATAGGATTTTGGAAACGTTATACCCTGCGTTTGAAGTATAGTGTGACTTGTGTAGATGGAGGTTGTTATATGCAAATATGGTCTAGTTGAGTCAATGGAGCTCATGATCCGTGGGTTTAACAATTATTTTGTTGCATATGAAGAAAGCAGTAACCGCCAGGGCATCCACTTGAATAATTTTTCCTCAGTTATTCTGATTTTCATGCATGTTTGGAATCACATTCTAGCTTTTTTTTTTCTGAGCGTTTAGCCTTGTACTGCTTTTAACATGAAACATATTAAGATTGGCAGTTAACTAGTTCTGATTGCCAGTCCCCACGGTAACTTGGCAAGTACCTGCTTTGTTTATGATTGCTATTACCTCTAATTTATTTTAATTATGCCTTTTTATTTACTTTTCTTGCTTTGTGGCTATAGCATACAGATAAACAGGAGTTTTTTGCTTCTCAATGCACAGAGATGTGCTCTATAACCCTTTTAAGCACCTCATTGTTTGTCTTTATCAGATTTTTAAGCACCCTCACCTCTTGTTTTTCTGACTCAGGATGAGAGAGAGCTTAAAAGACAGCGAAGAAAGCAGTCAAATAGGGAATCAGCTCGTCGATCTAGGTTGCGCAAGCAGGTAATGATGTAACTTTTTGCATCTGTTAATTATTTCAGGCTACTTGGCACTGTATGTGCAATATGGCCTCAATGGATGTACTTTTGAGTTAGGCGGAATGTGATGAGCTGGCCCAGCGTGCTGAAGCATTGAAAGAAGAGAATGCCACTCTTAGATCAGAAGTTAGCCGGATAAGGAGCGAGTATGAGCAGCTGCTCTCAGAGAATGCATCTCTGAAGGTAACATCCACTCTTGGTTTGTTTTCGAACTTGTTTAGAGGATGTTGGTTGACTTTTCAGTCACTTAGTACCACATTTTTGTTTTTGTTTTTGTTCTTTTAAGGGAGTCAATTATGCTGATCCAACTCTATTCTGCTTTAAGCACAAAGGATTTGTTGAATTGTCACTATAATTTTTTGTTAATTCACTCTGTAAACAGAACTGATCTGAATCGGTCTGCATCTCTGTTCCAAACCGTGATTTGGCAAACTCCAAAAATTCTTCAAACGTTACTAGAAATTGTTCTAGCAAACCTTGATTTAGGATGGCTTTGATCCAAAACATAATGCACTTACATTGGTATTCTTTAGATTTCCTTTTTTGTTTTTTTTCCCTTTTTACATTTATTTCAAAGGGGGCGTGCATCAAGTGACAATTCAATTCCACACAGATTTTACAAATGTGAAGATAGAACACTTTGATAATGAAAGAGTTTTGCTAAAATGCAACATTCTAACTCCTTATAGTGTAATCTGCATAATCTATTGCATAAGCCTAACTGCACAGTTCCTTGGTTTGGGATAAGCGATGTACTATCAGTCTGATCCAGATCCCATGCTTTTAGTTCCCATAAAATTTTTGTGCATCCAGACTCCAGATAAATTAGTTTAGCTAATAATCAAACAGAAGGTATACCACAGGGCTTAATTAAGGGAAATGCAATTTTAATTTGCAATGTCCGAAGTTAAACTGGAGATGCTATTTTGCTTCTACAGGAGAAGCTTGGAGAAATTCCTGGGCACGAAGATCCAAGGTCTGCCAGAAGTGAGCAAAAATTGAGCAATGACACTAAACAGATTGCACAAACAGAAGTGCATGGGGGCCAGTAGGATGAGTAACCCAGTTTTATGGTGCTTTCCAGGGGCACCATCTAACCAATTAGCAGCAACAGGGAGTTTCTTTTACATAGCAGCATGTAGTTTGACTTTTGTCCAACTTTTAACTTTTTATATTTTAGGATATGTTTATTTGCATATCATCCTTTATTTCTCACTGGGCCTACCTTTAAGAGTGGAAGCCCTAAGATATGTGGTGTGAAAGTCATGTCCTACCCTTGTCTCTTTCATAAGGGTGGTAGTATTCACACTAAAATTCATATGTATTAAATATGGTTGGTGAATGTGTAGCTTGGGAGATTGATTAACTAAAGTATGCTACTCTAACAGAAATCTTGATTTATGAACTTGTTCTATGTTGGTTAGCATTACAGGCGTGTCGAAGCCAATTGGGAGGGAGCCGAGAACAAATGTTCTTAGGTATTTCTCCGATTGTGTTTTGTCGTCCCTGGCTGCGTTTTGTGCTTTTTTGTGTTTTGTTTTGTTTTAATTGTTTATATCTTTTCTAGTTTGGTCATTTTTATCCATGTGGTTTCAATTTAAAGCAATTCAATGACAATTCTCAATTTAGAAACAATTCTCAAAATTTTAGAAAAAAAATGACAATTCTCAATTTCTGTCAAATATTTTAAGATTCCTTTATGTGAGAATAATTTGGTACGTAAATTATAAAAAAGTCATTCCTTTTAAAAATAAACAATACAAATATAAATTTTTAAAAATTTAGTTTAAAATAAAAATAAATATCCCTTTCCTTCTTTTTTTTTTTTTTTTTTTTTTTTTTTTTTTTTTTTGTGAATTAAAAATTCCTTTTTAATTTTCCTTATTATGGGGACTTAGTTATGGAATATTCTTAGGGCTTCCACAACTGGTGAGTGACGTTTAACAACATTATGATTACCTAGGTGGAGAATCTATTCAATTGGAATTTCAATGTAATACGGTCCTTTTATAACTCAATGCTCTTGGTCATATCTCTTCATCCTTCTTGGGCACCAAGATTGCAGAGACAGAAGTGAATAGGGTCTAGTAAGATGGGTAACCCAGCTTTATGGTGCTTTCCAGGGGCACAGTCTAACTAGTTAGCAGCAATAGGGAGTTTCCTTTGCATAGCAGCATGTAGTTTGACTTTTGTCCAACTTTTAACTGTTTAAATTTTAGGATATGTTTATTTGCATATCATCCTTTATTTTCTCACTAGGCCTACTTTTAAGAGTGAAAGCCCTAAGATATGTGGAGTGTTAAACTCATGTCCTACCCTTGTCTATTTCCTAAGGGTTGTAGTATTCACACTTAAAAATTCCCATGTATTAAATATGGTTGGTGAATCTGCAGCTTGGGAGATTGACTAACTAAAGTATGCTACTCTAACAAAAATCTTTGTTTGTACTGTGACTAACCGAGCAACTAGCTAGGTTAGATCATCCACGTGCCATGCTATGAGAGGTCATCACCTCAATCAAATAAGCCTTACCACAAGTCACAAATCTAAGCAAGGCAAGGAGTCCCACATTGGAAGACTACAAGAGATGGAGACTTCCTCTCACCTATAAAAGAAGACTACTCTCCACTTAGAAAGGGGTCTTGGATTCTTGGGCTTTATACCTCAGGCCTTGGGTCTTCTTCCCTTTATCTTTGAGTCTAATCCTCTTATACAAATGTAAACAAACATTATCATAATGAGAATATATTTCTTCGTGAATGTAGCTCATTCATCAAGGGTGAACCACATATATATTGTCTTTTGTATATTTATCGCTTGCCCAAAATCCTCACACATATGCTGAAGGTTCTCACCTTCACCCATCATCCACTATTTCACCTTTATCTAAATTGACCCTCCCAAAAAGAGCATCAACAGTTTAGCGCCGTATGTAGAAAATGACACAAGAAGCCTTTGTTGATTCTCCTTTCCTCGGTGCCATTCGACACCCCTTTGATCAACGTCTCCCAAGTCACCGTTTGGTAATACCTATGCTAAAGCAATCATGAGTCATCAAAACATCAACCGGCTGAAGACATATTTACTGAAGCCACCCACCAATCAGTCACTTTGTAGAGTTTGACTTTGGAGATTGCCCAATATTCTAATCCACAAAGAACATCATCTTGCGTTGATCAGGCCAAGGAACAGAAGACTGTTCCAATTAATCTAAAGAATGCCCACGTGCATCCCCACTATGAGCCATACTGAAGCCCACAAGCCAATCCAAAGGGAAGCCTACATGGTCCATTTCCATGAGTTTGTGGCGTAGATGCTGTTCAACAGCTGTCAATTGCCATTCGTCAACACAATGGAATACCCGTACTGAAGCCACCATAAACCCCTCTATCTGAAGACAAAATACGAGGACTAGATTGGCACCCAGTTTTCTAAGCTTATCTCCAATAATTTAGCTTCAGCCAATGGCTTTCAGAAGCCATATCAACCTCCAAAATTCAGCCCCGTATCGTTCGGCAGTCCCGGATTGAAGCAAGATACTACATACAACTCCAGATTGTTCTTTATACTCCATATTGTCGTAACCAAACAAAAAAGAAAAGAAAAGAGAGGGGGTGTAGCAAGGCATCTCTCATGCTTTCATCTTCTCCAGTCTTCTTTCCATCTCCTGCTCGCCACTGGCTCCAGACAAAGGCACATGCACTTGAAAAATGGGGTGGCATTAAGACATTGCTTCAGCTCATCGGCAAATGTGAAAATGAGGATGTCTGTAGAAATCTTTGATGGCATTCTACAGAAATCTGCGGTGGCATTCGGCCAAATGAAAAGACATCTCCACCTTGCTTATTATTCATGAGCTACTGTTCAACACTTGCCAATTGCCATTCAACAATTCAGTAAAACATGAAGAGAAATTTTTATCTCATAAAAGTCTACCCTTTCAGATTATCTCATATTTAATGACTCTCCATACCAAAGAATCTGCACCCACAACAAATGATGGATACGAGCTCCGGGACCTCCCAGCTTGCGAATTCCTTGTCCCACCACGAACGGCACTGTTGATAAGAATTCCAATAATCCAACGGCAGCACCCTATCACATCTACTTGTTGGAAAATTTCTCAAGACACCCAAGGTGTCTTCATAAAAAGTGGGAGGAAACATATTGACTGAAAAGTGCCGAGAGCTTGAGAACTTGCTGGACATGGTCCTCCTTCAACCCATTCAATCTATCAGCATAGCAATGCTCGAGCAACCACGAGGCTCCGCTACACCACCACACCGATGCATGATCCCATCAAAAGAGAACAAAACTGAACCACAATTACCCATGGTACCCAACGGCACCCAGCCACTAAACTTATCAAAGACACTCAATGGGAAGGCAAGTGTCGACAACTTCACACAGTTATAAACTTGACTGTCGAAGTCCACGCTCAAACAAATGAGCGGCACCCAAGATGTTCAAAGCATAACAATCGATCACTCACCTATGTCGAACGGTATCTACTATCTCTCAGTGGTTCACCCGCCTACGACAACGCCTCCTTTGTGTCACAATCTCTCTTAGGTCATCACAATGGTCGTAAACGATCGGCAACCCAGCACTTTCTTTGTCTTGTCCAAAGGGTACCGATCGGCACTTAGAGAACATTCTCCTCAAGGTACCAAGATGCTGAAGACACCGTCCCATGCTTCGGCGAAATACAGCTTCGGCGACGATCTGGTCGGCAACAGAGCGCCTTGTTGGTCTTGTAAAAAACGGCACCCACCCACAAAGACAACATGGAGGGTTGCCTGCTGATCGGCAAGTGTGACGTCATAGCGACCTTTCGGTATGTCGCCAACTCATCTCCAATGGAGTGACAACTAGAGGTGTCAAACTGGACAGGCCGGCCCAGCACGGCACGGCATGAGCACGAATATTAATGGGCCGTGCCGAGCACGGCACGAAAACTTGGGCCGGGCCGGGATAAAAAAATGAGGTCCAATGGACCGGGCTGACGCATGGCCCGACATGGGCCGGGCTTGGCCCGAGCACACTTCAAGCACGGCACGAGCCCAAGCACGGCCTACTTAACATTTTTTTCTTTCTCAAAAGTCAAAATGCAATAATTTGACATCTAATGTCATTATTTATATGTTTATATATTTGATGTCTTTCATTTTAGGGAAATTACTTGGGTCCTTAATTAATTAAACATATCAACTACAAATTAATTAAATCACATTGGACTTGATATCTAATCAGTACATATGACATATATGCTTCTCTTATAATCAAAGCAAGACATTATTTCACATATAAAATAATAAGTTGTTTAAAGATGAAAAGTTGAAGTGGACTTTGTAGAGTTTGACACTTTTTTCCCTTTGCCATTTCATATTGTTTGGATGTTTGATTGATTAATGTTTTCAAATAGTTCATCATTTCTTGCCTCTAATTATATTTTTAATGTTTATAATTTGAATTATCTAGTGAAAAAAAAAATGAAGTGAAAAAAATTCAAATTAAATGGATTGGTTCTTGGGCCCGAGTATGGCACGAGCACAAGCACGGGCACGGCACGAGCCCGGCCCGTTTCAATATGGACATGGGCTTTGGGCTGGGCCAGGATCAATGATTCTACTAAACGGGCTGGCACGGCACGGCCCGATAAATTAAATGGGCTTGCCCAGCCTAACACGAAAACGTTAAAAACACGAGTTTAAATGGGATCGGCCAGCCCGGCACGGCCCGTTTGACACCTCTAGTGACAACGACCTTGCCGATCGGCAAGTTGACGACAAATCATGCGGACAGCTCCCATCCAACCTCCAAAACCATTGGCAACACCCTTGTTGATCGGCAAGTCAACTACGGCACCTCCGTGAGCACCCAACTGATTTGGTAGGATGACGACGGAGCTTGAAGACATCTTCCAGCCCATCAATACCATCAGACATGTCGGCGACAGAACGAGAAGGAGAGCCCTCATCCAACCTCCAAACCCATCAGCAAAGCCTTTGCCAATAGGCAGACATGACATCACACTTACCGATCGATAGGCCGTCGACCAAAGGAATTAGACAACCTCCAAACCATCTCCAATTGAGCGACAATGACCTTACTGACCGGTACATCTACAAACCTATGCTTTCAATTTCTCAACAAAGATACCGATCGGTAGGGCAGCAATCAGCTCCTATGAAGGCCCACTTGCCGAAGCAAGCCCATCATTTTCTCTTCAGAAATTCATGATTCAATACACTTGGGCTTTGTATAAGAAGAAGCTGAAACCTTGCATCCTTATTCAAGAACAAGACAAATTTCTAAGGCCCACTTAACTTGTGGCAATCGACAACTTGCCACCAAGAATGGAGATTATATAAGTTATAAGCCCCCACAAAAAAAAAAAAAAAAAAAAAAAAAAAAAAAAAAAAAAAAAAGCACATTTGCAATTCTTCCCTTCGGCACCTTGCCGAGTTTCCTTACGACACACAAGTTTTATGCAAATGTCTTCAGTACCCCATGGCATTCAGAATCTTTCCAAGTTTCATGTCTTTCAGTAATTTTCTTGCAACACGCAAATGCCTTCGGCACCTTGCCCAAGTTCCATGTCATTTGGCAATTTTTCTTGCAACACACAAGTTTTATGCAAATGCCTTTGACACTATGCCAAATTTCATGCCCTTTCCGTGCCATTCGGCACCTTGTCTTGTGCCTTCGGCACCGTCGTGCCCTCGACACCTTGTCCTACGACATCCAAGTCTTGTGTATTCGGTACCCTCAAGCCCTTTGGCACCTTGTCTTGTGACTTGCTCGCATGATCCGCGTGACGTCACCCCTGCCGATCGGCATGCACTATGTTGATCATGCAGGGGACTCTCACAAGACAAGTGCATGGCGTCACCCCTATCGATTGGCAAGCACCGTACCGATCAAGCAGAAGATGCTAGCGCGACCCTCGTGCCTAGGCACATCTCCTTGCGACATGCAAGCTTTGCGCCTTTGACACCCTCGTGCCTAGGCACACTGCCTTGTGACATGCAAGCTTTGTAACTTCGGCACCCCGTTCCCTTCAACATTTTATCTTGTGAAATGCAAGTCAAATGCCTTCGGCAATTTCCTTGCGACATGCAAATGTCTTCGGCACCCCTTGCTCTTCGGCACCTTATCTTGCGACATGCAAGCTTTGCGCCTTCAGCACCCTCGTGCCTAGGCACACTGCCTTGTGACATGCAAGCTTTGTACCTTCGGTACCCTGTGCCGTTCGACATTTTATCTTGTGAAATGCAAGTCAAATGCCTTCGGCAATTTCCTTGCGACATGCAAATGTCTTCAGCACCTCTTGCCCTTCGACATCTTCTCTTGCGACATGCAAGCTTTGTCCCTTCGGCACCCTCATGCCTAGGCACACTGCCTTGTGACATGCAAGATTTGTACCTTCGGCACCCCGTGCCCTTCGACATTTTATGTTGTGAAATGCAAGTCAAATGCCTTTGGCAATTTCCTTCCAACATGAAAATGTCTTCGGCACCCCTTGCCCTTCGGCACCTTCTCTTGCGACATGCAAGCTTTACACCTTCAACACCCTAAACCCTTGCTACATGCAAGTTTTATACATTCGACACCCTCATGCCTAGGCGCATCGCCTTGAGACATGCAAGTTTTATGCCTTCAGAACCTTGTCTTGCAACATGCAAGTCTTATGCCTTTGGCACCCTCATGCCTACGCACATCGCCTTGCGACACGCAAGCTTTACACCTTCAGCACCCTCGTGCCTAGGCACATAACCTTGCGACATGCAAGTTTCATACCTTC